TTCCACACCAGCTGCACATCCAGCCTGTTAGACCCCCCACCCATTCTGCCCACTCCTCTCAAGTGGCAGCCTTGACTTTATCAGAGATTAATCAGGATGGATAGATTTAACAATTACTGTACTAAGGACTGCAGTTGACCGGCCCTCCTCCTTTTATTTTATGGTTCTGCAGAATGTGACTGTTGTAGGGGACACTTGCAGTTCGAAGGCGTGCCTGTGTTTTCACACCCCCGTCTCTCACCAACCCATTCAAGGTGTTGAGCGAGGCAGACAGACAGAAAGCACCTTCTTCCTCTTTCAGCCTTGGCCAGGGCTCTGTTTGCAAAGTCATTTTTAAATAGCGTTTTGTTCCTCAGACCCATTTACACTGGCTGGTAAAGTAACGCACGTGCTGTTATTCAGTGCCTAGTTTTAAAAAAAGTAACCCAACACGACACTTGGACAACTCGTATTCTGTTCTTTTTTGTTATATTGAAAGAGGAAAGGCTTAACGATTGATCAGCATAAATAAGACTGATAGAATGGTTAAGATAGTGAAAAATATCTGGAGGACCACAAACGTCCTCTAAACGTACATTAACTTGATGTTGAAATGTAATTTTTTGGAAATAATTAGGAATTGTTACTTACTGCATCAGTAAAGTAACTTAATCATTGTTTTTGAGATATTTGTTGGTTATGCCCTTGTTATCCTAAAAGTAACTAGCTATAGGTAATTACATTACCTAAGGTAAATTAATTACCTGTTAGTTCCAAGTTCTAGAGCAAGGCTGGGCAAACTGCAACATTCCAGATGTTGACTCGCCAGTCCTGGCAGTGTAGCAAATGGGTAAAAATAATGGGAATTGTACAGTGGTGCCTCGCTTTACGATTGCCCCGCATTATGATGAAACCGCAATACTACAAAACTGCATTACAACAATCTTTTTGCGATCGCAATTGCGATTGCAAAATGATGGTCTGAATGGGTTTTTTTCACTTTGCGATGATCGGTTTCCTGCTTCAGGAACCGATTCTTCGCAAAACGACGATTTGCCTCCAGCTGATCAGTGGTTTCAAAATGGCCGCCGGGTAAATAAAATGGCTCCCCGCTGTTTTCTGGGATGGATTCCTTGCTGCACAGGCACCGAAAATGGCCACCCTATGGAGGATCTTCACTGGACGGTGAGTTTCCAGCCCATTGGAATGCATTAAACGGGTTTTAATGCGTTTCAATGGCTTTTTATTTTCGCATTACGACTTTTCGTTCTACAGCGATTTCGCTATAACGAATTAACGTCGTAATGTGAGGCACCACTGTAGTTCCATACTATAGAAAGAGATGTACCAGTATTCTAGATTGAACTGAAGAATGTAAGGAGATTCCTGCAGGGTCAGAGTAAAGGCTTCTCTGGTCCAGCATTCTGTTAGCCAAGGCAACTGTTCTTGCAATTACTATCTCTGTTTCGGGTTCCCCAGCAACTGAGCACTTCTGATACTGGATCACTGATATTGGATCTGATCAATAACCCCCTTGACCAGTAGCTATTGATGGTCCTAACCTCTGTGTAATCACTAAATGCAATAGCTGGAGATATAAGACAGCTAAGTGGGAAGCTTTCTTCATACTGAGCATAGTTAGCTTACGGAACTTTGTGCCACAAGGTGTGGGGGAGGGCAATAGCTGTTTTTAAAAAAGGTTATGTAAATTCATGCATTTAAGCCTCACCATGTGTACCACAGAAGATCTAGCAAAGTGGCGGAGATTATACTCTTGAAGCAGCCCACTTCTGATCAAAAGCATTCTAGTTATCGCAACATTTTATTTTGTGTTAATTTTACCTATATTTCATATACGTCCATAATTTTAAAATGTGCAACACTCTGATACGACTAAAGAAGAACAATGGAAGAGAATTAGGTCTATTAATGGCGGCTAGTGATAACTTAAGGGATCTCCAAGTGCAGGGAGACTGTACAATAAATCTGAATTATTAGTTGGGATAAATGAAATGCCAATAAAGACAGACAATCTTCTAATCCGTGATAAATCTTCATTTTCAAGCTTTGCAATAACATCAAGAGTTGGGAGTGAAGCTTTGGCATTGGTTTGTTCGCATTTCTCTCTCTCTCGTTCTCCATTACTGTCTTCCTCGCCCACACGCATAAGCCCTGCGTGTACACCCTTGTCTTGCCAAAGTTTATTTGTGACACCTGGCTTGGGAGATTTAGCCTTATACAGAGACATGTGTGGAACGGCAAGGGGAGAAGATTTCTCAGGGTGGAAATCCATCCTGTTTCCTAGGAGAACATCTCCCCCTACAGGACTCGGAACATATTCAACTGTGCACACACAAACACAACACGCACGCACACACACACACCCAAATACTGTCTAGAGCAGGCTTGGGACTGGTTTTTCCTAGAGTGTCCCCTCTAGTATAACAAAGGGGTCGTTGGGATAGGTAACTTTTCTTGGCTGTATATATAGAAAAGTGAGCCTCGTGCAAGGCTGTTCGTGACTCAGAGAAGTTCGGTTACAGTTCAGTGAAGGAAACTGCCTTCTTCTGATTCAAGCTGGTGATGCATGTAGTTCCGTTGCATCTACACAGGCAGGTTGTGGTCTTCCCCATACACACTTGGAACTAGACCCAGGATGCTATGCACACAAAGCTTTTCCAAATGTCAAAATAGGATTCCAAGCTTCACGGCCTTTCCCTGAATTCTGGTCTCGAGAGGGACTTTGGAAGCTTATATCAAATCAGACCGTGAGGTCACGGTCCCTTGCCAAAGTAACGTTTCTGGAGGCCATTCTATGAATGGGATCTTAGATTCCTCTTTGACGTTGTGGGTGGAGTGATGTTCAGGGAACTTAATATGGATAAAATTCAAGGTGGTGTGAACATGCAGAGGGTTGAACTGGTCAGGATTCAATCATCCACGGAGCCTTCAAATTCAATGGGTAAAACTGGGGCAGAGACTCTCTCAGCCTGACTATCTGGTCAGTTGATTCATTTCTACCATACATACCCACCAGTGAACTTGGAACAACATGGGCATAATATCATGCAGCAATATTGGGCCGTCTCCTGGCTTTTTGAATTATGGGCACAGAAGCCCAGTATCCCACATTCATAAAGCAGAGCTTTTTTTGAAGAACTGAATATACAGACAACACATATAAGCTTTACCAAGGGTAAAACGCTACCAATTCTACTCAATTCCCATTCTCTTCTCCTGCAGTAGAAATGTCTTCTTTCTCTCTAAATTAAAATGTTTACTGCAATAACATGTGGGGACAAATATACTATGCTGCATGCTATAAAGGTATCAGAAGCATAACAATCATCCAATATGTATTGGAATATTGGCCAAACTGAATTAGTACAAAATATTATTGTTATAGCTCATCACTTTTGCAATTAATGGCCTGCCACTTCAGCATTATAAAAAAATCCAGCAAGTTGATGAAGTACCACAAGATTATGCTATCCAAAACAATTTATTCAGCAAAAAATTGAATTGGTTGTTTTGTGGGCTAGTTATGCATCTTTTACAGGAAGCATCTTTTTAGGACAAGAGCGTCTTTCTAGATACCATATATAACAAAGCAGTACAACAAGCACCTCCTTAGATCTTCAGGTCTCAGTAGATCAAAAGCTGGATGTTTTGTTGTAGATTGAAAGCTGAATATGAGCCAACAGTGCCATGTGGCTGCAAAAAGGGTAAATGCAATTTTGGGATGCATTAACAAAAGTATAGTCTCCAAATCCTGTGAGGTACTAGTCCCTCCGTTTAGCACTGGTTAGGCCTCATCTAACCACTTTAAGAAGGTTGCCAACAAACTGGAACAAGTTCAGAGGAGGGGAACAAGGATGATCAGGGTACTGGAAACCAGTATGAGGAAAGGCTGAAAGAATTGGGCATGTTTAGCCTTGAGAAAAGAAAACTGAAGGGTGATAACACTTTTCAAATACTTGAAAGGCTGTCATATGGAGGAGGGGCAAGATCTATTCTCGATCATCCCAGAGTGCAGGACCCATAATAATTGGCTCAAGCGACAGGAAGCTAGAGTTTGGCTGAATATCGGGAAAAACTTCTTAACTGTTAGAGCAGTACAACAATGGAACCAATTATCTCAGGAGGTGGCAAACACTCCAAACGCTGGAGGCATTCAAGGGAAAACTAGGCAATCTGTCAGATCTGCTTTGATTTGGATTCTTGCACTGACTGGGCGTTGGACTCGTTGGCCTTATAGGCCCCTTCCCACTCAACAATTCTATGATTCTATGAGTATTCTGGTTTAGCCATTATGGTATGTGATCAGCATTTGACTATGCTTGCCAGTGAGTTCTGGAAGTTGGAGCCCAATTTATTTTTCCCTGGCATAACATTCTGAGTTCTGTCTGTGGCGTCCAGATGGGCAAATTAGACAACTGGAAGGAAGCTTCCTGGCGCTGCCCTCTCTTGGTAATAATTGAAGAGAGAGGTTGGTGATGACTTACCATGGGCATGAGATGGGCTAGCATCAGATCCAAGGACTCTTGTCAGTACATTGGTGCCTCGCTTGATGACGTTAATTCATTCCAGCGAAATCGCTGTAGAGCGAAAACGTCGTAAAACAAAATTTAAAAAACCTATTGAAACGCATTGAAAACCGTTCAGTGCGTTCCAATGGGCTGAATACCTGCTCGTCCAGCAAAGATCCTCCATACGATGGCCATTTTCGGTGCCTGTAAAGCGAGGAATCAATCCTAGAAAACAGCGGGGGGCCATTTTCTTCAGCCAGTGGCCATTTTGAAGCCTGTTTGCTGATCGTCGTAAAGCGAAAATCGGTTCCCGAAGCAGGGAACCGATCATCGCACAGCGAAAAAACCCCATTTAATATATTGTTTTGCGATCACAAAAGCAATCGCAAAACATCAACGTAAAGTGGATTCATTGTAGAGCGGGGTAATCGTCCAGTGGGGCACGACTGTGTTAGTGACTTTTTCCCTTTCCATCTTGTTTTCCCATTGTCCATGCAGCTCACCATCATCTTCAAGAGCTTCCAGGAGTGTGTGGACCAGAAGGTATACCAAGCTGAGATGGATGAACTGCCAGCCGCCTTTGCTGACGGCTCCAAGAACGGGGGCGACAAGCATGGCGCCAACAGCCTGAAGATCACAGAGAAGGTCTCTGGCCAGCATATAGAGATCCAGGCCAAGTACATTGGCACCACCATCGTCGTGAGGCAGGTGGGCCGTTACCTGACCTTTGCTGTGCGGATGCCTGAGGAGGTGGTGAAAGCTGTGGACGACGGCGACAATCAAGGCCTGTATCTCTGCCTCCGGGGCTGCCCGCTCAACCAGCAAATAGACTTCCAGGCATTCCGTTCCACCACTCAGACAACGGAAAACCAGGCTCGACGGAAAGGTCCTAGCCCTCCTACTTCCCCGGAGACCTTCACCTACGAGGCGGCCGTGGCGAAGTGTAAGGAGAAGCTTCCAGTGGAGGACTTATACTTCCATTCCTGCGTCTTCGACCTCTTGACTACGGGCGATGTCAACTTCACTCTTGCTGCTTATTATGCTTTTGAAGATGTCAAGATGCTTCACTCCAACAAAAACAAGTTGCACCTCTACGAGAGGACACAGGACTTTGGGCCAGGCAATGGGGCCGCCTCAGGGCCTTCCCGGCTTCTTGCTCTCCTTCCACTGGTTGTCTCTTTGAGTCAATGCCGGGCCCTGTTTCTATAGACTATCATCATGGCGGCAGGGAAACGGAAAACAACAAAACAATTTTGACAGGGAAACTGAAAATTTTTTTTTCTTACTTGGTTAAGAAAGAGACTGCACCAGTTGGGCCAACTTTTTATCATCCCATCTTTTCCCTTGAGAAGAAAACCAACATGATAAATAAGTTTGGACCTTCATGCCCATTGAAGGCTTTCTCTGCTTGGAAGACTGTCTGCTAAATTAGAGCTCCCACTAACCACCTCTCGGGTTGCCTTCCTCCTTTTGCTGAGGATGATGGGAGGTGCCTCCCTTCTCCCCTCCACCTCCTCCTCTTTTTTTGTGGTACTATGAGTGGTTGTGGTGCTGGTGACATTGCCGTCTGTGTACAGTCAAGTCGTATGGGAGAGGGTGGCGGCGGCCATCGCTGCTTCTTGAAAAGAACTAAGGGGTCACCGTTGTGCAAAGGGGGGGGAGTGTAAAAATGAAAAACAGTGACAACCCAAACCTGGAATGTAAAGAGCCGCACATGAGTCAGAAACCAGTGAGGACTTTGCTACGTTTATGGCCGATGGCTTTCTGTTCGACCCACCTGCTTTGGTCAGGGGGTGCCGACTGCTCCTGGGCAAACTGGCACCCAAACTCACCTCCTCGTGCGTGAGTTACTTGCTGGTGCGCGTGCAAACAGATGCCAGGGCACACCTCCTTTTGGTGCCCTTGCTAGCGCGGCTGCTGGCAGCTGCCTTGGCACCGTTGGGTGTGGTAACTGTTCCAAACTGGGTCTCCCTTTCTGGCGGCCTTGGAAAAGCCGTGGGCAGGGCAGGCTGTAAGCAAACCTTCCTCTCTCTTCTTCCATCCTTTTAGCAAACACCCCTTCCTTTATCTCCCCATCAAGGCTGCCCAACCATCCTCTGAGGCCAGAGGCTAGACGTATTTTTTTTCTAGGGGCTGTGGGATCCGTGTCTTCACAGGAATCTGAGAGCACGGGGTGGCCCATTCCAGAAGGACACAGTGGTGTCCTGCTATAAGGCCAGGTGGGACCACGTCTCGGGGGCCTTGGGATGTCCACAACCTCACTGTCATCATCGCGATCTCAAATCTCAGCGGGCTGCTCTTTTTTGTACAAAATCAGAATTGACAGGAAGATCACCTCCAAAGGTTGAGAGAAGGCTATTTCAGACTTCATATAGGCTTGCCCAAATAGTGTTTGAATTACATTTGGAGACATGGGCGGCAATATAAGGGTGGGAAACATGGATGTGGAGAATGACTTAGGAATCCATGTGGTCCACGGACACTTTTCCTGCTTTAAGGACTGCTGACATGATGGGCCAGTTTCCCACATTCTTCCTCCCCCTCCCCTCGGTCTGATAATCTCAGGAGGAATAACTCGGCCAGTATTGAGGTGGCCCATGCTACCCTTTATTTCTCTCGACCTTCACCAAGGCTGAGACGATGCATGACCAAACTCCTTCCTTTTACTCTGTTGCTTGTATCCCACCCCCATCCCTCCAAAAAAACATACAGACACACAGACATATTTCTTTTGAATTCTTTAGGGTATAAACCATTAGCCAGATCCTTCTCTGAGGTGACCTTCCCAGATGAACTGCCCAAATTAGATCAGCAACTTAGGCAGAAACTTGGGGCATGAATTCCTTGGAGGGCAGCTAAGTCTTCTAGTTGCACAGTCCAAGGGTAAACAGTTTGGGCCCCGAGAAAGCAAGACGCGTCCCCTGCTTACACTGAGGGAAGGAGTCTCTGCCTCAGTGTTTTGGAAATTCAAAATGGCACCTTGGTCATTCCTTAAGCTATCTCGTCTTCCAGGGAGTGTGCTTTGGGAAAGTATTTAAAGCACAGAGAACTATTCCAGTCAGCCTCCCCCTCTTTTTTTTCCCTTTGTGTTATTTTTCACATTTCTGGGGCTCACACAGTCCAGAGTGGTTCCAAGGGATGGAGAACATTTGTTCCCAGAACCTGCCCACCCTTGGTGTATGTTGCCAGTTCTGGAAGCTGCCTAGACACAGGTATTCTGCTCCACACTGGCTCTCTCGGGTGTACATTTGAGGCCCAACCATGGTCTTTTTCCACACCTTCGGACGGGCCGCCTCTCTCCACTGCTGTGCGAATCAAAACCGTTCCTGGATGTGGGTGAGACAGGGGTCCCCACATTGGCTTGAAGGGAACAGATTTAAAAATAAAAAAGAAAGAAAAATAGAACAGGTTGATACATCAAGGGAAAGGAGACACGTCCAGGTCGAAATATAGATGACACGGATACCTGTAGCTTTTATGGTGTGGGAGTCCCAGAAAATTTAGGAGAACCCCCTAGTGGGATTCTCCAGGATGTTTCAAAGGGCTCACATGTCACGACAGAAAGAAAATTCAAGGGATCAGCTGCTTATGTCCCCTTACCGTTTTTTGCCCCAAGAATGACAACGGTTGAGCAAGCTCTACTCCGGTCTTCAATCACACGTCTAACAGCTAGAAATGGGTAGTGGATTGGGCCCGGACTGCAACTCCCAGAAGCCTTCACCACCAACTGTGCTGGCTGGGGTTTCTGGGAGTTGCAGTTCAAAAACATTCGAGTAACAAAGGTTAAGAACCACTGGTTTAGAAGAACCCCCCCAGTGGGATTCTCCAGGATGTTTCGAAAGACTCACATGTCACTACAAAAAGAACATTCAAGGGATCAGCTGCTTATGTCCTCTTACCGCTTGAATGCATTCAGTGGATCACAAGATATCCTCAACTGACTCTCCTCCGTCATATCCTCCCATCATCCTCTCTGGTTGACCAGATAAGTTTCCACAACCATTTTCCATGGCTTTCATTATCTCTGTTTTACTGTTCGCATAATTTAAAAAAGCACTTTATTTTGGTTACATTTGGCTTAGAAACAAAGTGGAGCCAACAAAGACCCAATGAATTTTTAAAGAAAACAACAACACAAAAGGGGGGGGGGAGACATACAACAAGCTCAATGCCCCCATTGTGTTCTGGCTTATTGTGTGTGTGTGTGTGTGTGTGTGTGTGTGTGTGTAGAACTTTTGTGGGGTGTTAATGTAAATACTGTAAATTATTTATTGATGAAACTGCAATTAAAACTTCTTCCCAACAACATGATCTTGGGTGTTTTTATATATCTAATCCTTAGGGTGCAAAAAGTTGCCAACTGAGTTGTGTGTATTGTTACAATTAAAGAGCGGTGTAGATGCCCTATCCACCTGCTCTGATGATGTGCAATGACAGGTAGTACACAATCTAAGGCTTTTTCCACACAGCATTTTCAGGTAATGCCAAAACCTATGCAGACTATACTTGTATAGTTGAATATTTACAGTACATCCCATTCCACATCAAAAGATCCCAAGGTGGGATACAAACAAATAATTTAAAACTCTGAAGACCATTTAAATTGTACGCAACTGTTTTAATCTGGACAGCCTGATGACACAACCTGGTTCACCCAAGCTCCTTAAACTCCAAAGATCCTCAAAAATGCAAGGACCGTGTATCGGCACCAAAAAGGAAACTCGTGTTGGCCGGAAATAGGGCCTCCATGGGAGAAATATTCGACAGTCAAGGACCCCCAGCAGAGAAGGCTCTGGGTCTCCAGGTACCGTAGAAGCTCCTACAGTTGAGAAGACAAAGCAGGAGCATCCTTGGAGAAGCTAGTGCTCAGGCAAGGGTACCGATTTTAGAGGGGGAGCCATCCCTTCATGCGTTCAGGTCTGAAGCCCTCTGACTAAAGCAGTGGTGTCCAACATTGGCCCTCCAGATGTTCTTAGACTACAGCTCCCAGAAGCCTTCACCACCACCTCTGCTGGCCAGGATTTCTGGGAGTTGAAGTCCAAGAACATCTGGAGGCCCAAGGTTGGGGACCACTGGACTAAAGCATGACCTTATGAATGAGCTATCTCCAGAACGTTTTGTCCTCAACAGCTCTGCTCAGCTGCTCTAGACTCAAGCTTGTGGCTTCCTTGAGGGAGTCAGCCCATCTCGCGTTGGGGTCTTCCTCTTCTCCTGCTGCCTCCCACCTTTCCCAGCATGACTGTCTTCTTCAGGGAATCTTGTCTTCTCATGGATGTGCCCAAAGTAGGACAGTCTCGGCTTCAACGACCACTGGACTAAAGCATGACCTTATGAATGAGCTATCTCCAGAACGTTTTGTCCTCAACAGCTCTGCTCAGCTGCTGTAGACTCATCATTTACTTTTGAACCACAGCCCTTCCTGAGAAAGGCAGCCTCCATTCCCTGGTGAAGCAGCAGCTGTGTGAGTGCAAACTGGTGACTGTGTGGTTCAAGAACACCCCTTGGTCTGTCTGATGGCTACTGAGAAGGCTTGACTATCAGCCAAATAAACAGTTACTTCTATGAAGTATATTGAAAGTTACCTCCCCAAAGTTACTTTCCAAGGTTTCGTTGCTTTCCATTGGGTCTTTCTATCATCAGAACACCCCATCAAATCATTTAAGAACTGTATTTCCTTCATGGTAGTAAAAAAAACCCCACATTTGCTTGCTTGATGGATTCTTACGGTACTGGGCTTGTTGTTTCTAGCGCTCAGTCACATATGCTGAAACAGAAGGATAATCTGAACACAAGGAAAATGAGCATGTTCTGAATTCAGTAAAGCCTCTGCCAGCTCTTCATTATTGCCCAGCAGCTGAAGGCCAATGTGTGTTCCCCAATTTTCAGTAAATCAGAAAGTTCCATTTTGAAGCAAACATGTTGCATTACTCATTGCTTATTAGCCAAGTTGCTGCTCTTCCTGTTGCTTCCACTGTGCAAGTCACAGGTTACCCATTAATACCATCAATTACATTACCATAAAATACAGGTAAATGCTCCTTGGTTCCCTTTAGTGGCCAATTCTGATATTGCACCTTGTAAATATTTATAAAGAGACAAAAGGCAAACCAAAGATCTCTCTTGCCAATTCAGTTTGATAGGAGAGTGCACAGAACCTGAAAAATTTCTGTCAAAATGCCAGGCATTCTGAGAGGATGACAAAGAGATAAAAGAACCATGTGTGTTAACTGGAAACTCCCAAAGCAAAATATATGTACAATATATTTAAATTTTTAAACAAGGTGTCAGAATGGTGATAGAGGGAGGCATTAGAGAACTTTGCTCTAGGCATACAGGGAGAGGCATCTGACGTCCTCCAAGTGTCCCCCCCTCTTTTTTTAAGCTGCAATTCCTAAAATGTCTTACTACTGGCTGTAGTGGCTAAGGATGATGGGAACTGTTGGCCAACAGCATCTGGAGGATCACAACTGCCCACCTCTGCCCTCGGGTTTTCTTTGACTACAGCGGCCACAGTTTCTTACCACCCACTATGATGACAAGGGCCATCATTGGGAGGTGTTTGCCAAAAACAAGATTAAAAAATTAAGGCCGATTATACTCATGTCCAATGTTCACCCTGATCTACCAACGGCCATAATCTTTTCTTGTCAGCTTTCAATGGAAGGTTCAGGTGATCAATACATCTCAACAAAGGACTGCACAGTGGGGTGTGTGGTTAACATCCTTAATTTAAAAGAAAAAACATCCTGAAGATCACAGAAAAGGAAACTCGTATCTTCAATGAATATAGGTCACAAACTAGGGCAAAATTCTTCTTTCAGAGAAGCCATATCCAACTAAGCCCTTCATGGGCAGTGTTAGCAGTGTGGTTGCCCTTACAACAACTCCTACGTACGTGGTAATTCTGATCGGAATTAAATGAGATAACCAAGCAGTTTGGATGGATCCTAGGAGCTATAGGGCCCAACAGGGTTAATCATGTCACTTCAGGAGGAAACACTTTTCTCCTTCGAGTTTGGATGGATCCTAGGAGCTATAGGGCGCAACAGGCTTATCATGTCACCTCAGGAGGAAACACTCTTCTTCTTTTGCTTTTTGTTAGGTGACTGAGAGGTTTTCAAAAAATAGGCCTCAGGTACTGTACATACGAAAGAGAAATGGGGGAAAATTCTGCATGATCAGAGGCAGAGATCTTTCCTGATTGATGTCATCAAACAATGGACCAGCCTCTGGGGATGGAGGCTCCTCGGTGTTAAGTTGCAATGCCTTAGCCATTCTGGACACCAACTGAGCATATGAAGAGTAATCCTCTGAAGGAGAGGAAGGATGATTGTCCATTGTATGGGGAGGAGAAGGAGGGAGATCTGGAGATGACCGTGATGAAGGGTCAGATTGAATGCCTTCAGAGGAAGACGAGGATGCAAAAGACGAAATATAACCGGTATCAGGAAACTGGGGAGGTATGGAGGGTGGATGATGTCAAGTTGAAGAACGGTTAGGTTAAGGCTCCTGGGGATCTGCAGTTTCTGTAAAAATAGGTGCAGTGGCTGATAAGATACAGGAAACAAACTTTGCACAAACCCAGAAGCACTCGACATTTTTTCTTTATCCATTCCTGATCTTTCAAATTGGTTTTGTAGTTGAAACAGGAAATGAAGAGGCTCTGGAAACAATGAATGCAGCTGCTTCAGCTGCTCAGGAAAGATGCAGGAATACTGGCATTTCAGCAAACCCCACCCAGACTTTTAGCGAAGGACTGCTGTGATCCAGAGGGATGGCAGGAAACTGGATGCAGACCACTCTGTTATTAAAAGGAATATCAGGAGGCCAGCCTCCTTGTCTTCACTGGTCTGTTAAACAAGCAACACTGAAAGACCTGCCTCGTTAGGTAGGCTTTTGATTTCTAAGATTGAGTGGATGCTCCAGGATGCTGGACATGCATTTGTTTTAAGCAGGTTTTTAAAGTTTAAAAATGCCTTTTAATTGTTATTACATAATGAATGAATTGCTTATTCTTGTATGTTTCACTTTTTAAAACTTGTCATCCATGGTCTATTTAGGATGACAAGGTGTCTCCTGCCCTCACCAGGAGAAAGTTGACCTAGAAATGGGGCAAACCAAGCAATCCTTCTCCAATCCAGTTGCCCTCCAAATCTTTTGTAAACACCCCCCGTCTCTGACCCCTAGGCATACTGGCTGGGGCCAGGAAGAGTTGTAGTCTCCAACACCCAGAACGCCGTGGCTTGGCAAAGCCTGTTCTCCAAGTAGATCGAGAGAGCAGACATGAGCCTTGTGATTTCGTCCCAGGGTCTGCTCTTTCAGATCAGCAAAATCTATGTACAGTATTTAATCCCCAAGGTGGTGAAATTTGGTAATCCACGCAGGACAGAATCCCTCTTTCACACAACGCTAACAAAAACAAGACCACACCCAAAATTCTGAAAATGTCCATCTCACATTTTAATATAGAAGAATCCAAAGTACAGCCATTTTACAATGTAGGAAAATTTAATACATACTCTATAAACAACATATTTACATCAGAAATCACTAGGACAGTGGCAAAAGGTTTCTCACAAATATAAATTAAAATTAATAACTTTTTTTCTTAGTTGACAGGGTTGGTTGATTCTCCCTCAAGTCCATGATTTTATGAGCAAGTATCTTTCCACCACTAGATGATGGGAAAAAATGCAGGGGACAGTCCAGTATCATACAGATGACAGATATGGGTCATAGCAAGAGTCCCTCTTTCCATTCCCGAATACAGGAATAATCCATAGCAACTGGGCACAAGTCCAGCACTCTGTCCTTTCCCTGGCACACTGCAAACGTTTAAATGTTCTACCTCCTCCTAGCCTGAACAGTTAGAGAGAAAGCTTAAAACAAAGACAAAGCCTATGAATCTATGGATTCCACCCCACCACACACCCCTGGTTTCAAAAATACTTCAGGAATGAGAAAGATGAAAGGCAACACAAACTACCAGCTGAAAAATTTACAACTGGGTCTGGTGCTCTCCCCCCCCGCCCCCATATTCTCACCTATTTTCATGTCTTTCCCATTTCTAATCCCCACCCCACCCATTACCCCCAGGATGATCTGGAGAGGATAACCAGAATCCTTCTACTTTACATCAGCCAGCGTAAATTAAATGGTATAAAGTGCTTGCACTGAATTGCCCATTTAAGAAGTTGAAGCTTTTATTCCTTGTTATCACATGAGTCACAGGATTCAGCACAATACTGTGAAAATTATAAACACTGACTTCTTAAGTAGGGGCAATTTACCACCAGCAGCTTAACACTACTTGACTTCACACTGGCATATGTTGTGTAACAGGATTTTGGCTACTAAAGCACTCTGGATTTGCCACTCCAGTCTGCTGCTCTTCCATAAATGTAATACAAAACCTGCTGAATACTGATCCCCCCCCAGATGTAATGTTTTGAAACAGTCACAGGCTAACTCTCTTCCCTATAACCCTTCTGAGAGGCATCTCCCTCTCACCCTGCAAACTGGGTTACCCCTTTTTGTGCCTTACAACAGAATCCGAGACATGTTATCTCACGGATCAGGGCTGAGCTAACTTTTCTATAATACTTTCGAAGCATTTTTCTATTTAAATACCATCACCACCCATCTCACAGGTGTGCACCTCTCTTCTGCCAGCCCCGAAACGTGGTGGCACAGGAATATATATATTTCATGATTACAGCAACATTTTGTGACTCAGGTGAAGTAATAGATGTACTAATCACTGACTATGATTAAAAAGTTCTCTATCTGTCTCTACCTTCGCAGGAGGAGAGATACAGTTGGAATTCACATTATTAAAAGCCATCACCCTATGTGAAAACAAAAGGACCTTTTTAAGGAGCTCCATAGTGTATTTTCTACCATCACAGTTTAGTGGAATCAGACGAAACACGGCATCTGGCACATACACACACGCACCCTAAACCCTTCCAAAAGCTAGGATACAACACTGAAAGATTTATTTTGTAGTCCTTCTTCTGCAGGTCAATTCAACGCTTAACACTGCTGGAAATGATCTGGCAAGGACAACCTCACCACACTTTCCAACTCCTGGCCATCCAGCAAGCAAAAGCAGGCAAACAACTGGACTGGAGTTGTGAGCAGAGGCCACTTCATGCCCGTTGAGCAGAAAATTCATGACGCCCGCACTTGGAGTGGAACTGCAGAAAAGCCAGGGAGGTCCCTAGGCTAAACTTTCAGCATGGATACATAGCTTGTTGTTCACAGGGAGCATCGGAGCCACTTGCTCCCTTCTCTCATATTTACAGGACCAACCCTCTCACCTCCACAAAGCAATCTGGGGACCCAGAATGAATGAATGAATGAATGCACACACATGCATATACGCCCCATGGGAGTTCAAATACAAAGAGGACACATTTGTGACAAGGGTGTGCACTTCCCTCTTCAATGGATCCCTCGTTTCACTTTCACTACTCTAGATGGTAAGCGTTGGGGGTTTTTACATGAAGTGCTGGGGTGGCCAACTTGAGAAGTTCACAAACAGTAGGCAGAGTCCAGCTAGGGTGGTCCCAGGCACCAAACTGGGTTTCTTCATTGATGGGTGTTTGTCTTCCTGTGCAAAATGGATGAGACAGACTTGACATTCTCATCACAAGTGAGAGAAGAATGGGCCCAGGAACCTATCGAGAAATGCTGACAGTATCTGACATGGAAACACCCTTGGTGCCCAGTACTTCCTTCTCTTTTGCTTCGTTTGACAAAGTTACTGGAATGAGGGACACTTTTTTGGCAAGCCCAGAAAGGTCACCAGTTTCAGAGGGCTTCCGTTATCACTCTTTGTTCTGTTGAAAAAGTAAAATGAAAATGGTGAAAGGAACAAAAACAATGGGCTTATGGGGAAAAGGAGAAGGAGGGATGTGTTCACATATCCTTTTCATTTTTTCTTTCCTGCTTGCTTCATAAAGTGAAATGAGAGGTCCTACATCTAGGAGTCTCTGAAGCCAACAGCAAGCTCCCCCCCCCCTCCAGGTTGGCTTTGTTTAAGGCTGTTTCTCTTATTCACAGATGCTTCCTCCCATTCTCCCACTCTGTGAAAACTCCCTCAGGCAAACATTTATGGTCTCTCCTCTCCAGAAGAAATGCCTCTCCCCTCCTGCAGAAATTTCCATCTCAAAACCAGTATCATCTCCCCTTTCTTCTGCATGGGTGCTGCAAGCAGCCATCAGGTTCAAATTCTGTCACACACCCCTGGGACTCTACATAAGCCTTCAGCTGTAAAAACAGAAACTGGTGTGGGCTCGGCGTTTGCCCAACAGGTCATCTGGATGGCAGGGAAACCCATTCTCAACATATGGCCAGTGGGAATATGGGAGAAGAGATGGGGGGGAAGATACCCAGATGCCCCGGCCACGTCCAACTCCTATCATCTTGCCCTTCAAATGCAGAGCCCAACGGCAGAGTTTTCAGAGTCTCTGGCGGAGCATGACCAACCAGTAGTTGCCGTTTACTTCTGGTAAGGTTCTCCTTCCCCTGCTTTCCTCATTCAAGCTCTTAGGTTTTCCGGCCGCTCCAGTTATACTCGGGGTTGTTCTTCTGTTCTAAAGACCTATCCAAGGGTGACCGGCGGTCGAGCGGAGACTTGACCTCATGGGGCGATTTTTGCGAGGGTGGAGAGCGAGGGTCTGAGACTTGAGAATGAGGAGGTGGAAGCAGCTGCTTGTAATCAGCCGATTTCTCTGGATGGAAAGACCGGTAGTGGTCTGAAGGTCCCTGGCTGTGGTAGCCAATGGGAGGCGGCCTGTGATCAGACATCCTCCTAAAATCCTGCTGGTGGTAATTCTGGGACCGGAAATCATCTGTTCTTCGTCGCTTGGTGTCATGGTGATGCCTAGATGGGCAGAGAGGATAAAAAAGAGGCATCAGCTCAGGAGAAGGGAAGGAGGAACCTCTCCTGGTCCACACGCAATGACTTGCCCCCCCTCAAGGGTACCTTCTGAATCAACCACTGAATCAGCTAGATCAAAGCACACCAATCCCAGTGACTGAACGGATCCCTTCTACTTCTGACTAGCCTCTGGGTTTCTGCACGATATGTAGGAAAAGGAAATCCCCCTCTACTGAAGACTCAGGTGTCTCACCTTAAGATCGGAGAAAATATTTTAAAGACCAGACAACCTAAACTCTATGACCAGAAAAGAGTCAAAAGCAATTAAGCACTGAGAACTCTCCCACTTCTCCCTAATTACTGAGTCATTAAGGGAACCACACACAAAGAAGATTTACTATTTAAACCACCTTCTTAAAGCATCCCCAGCCTCACTTAGAAAGGTGCTCAGGTATGAGTCCTCCATATACCTGTACGCCACAAGGTGCCACCCAAACCTTTGACCCCAATGAACAGTTGTTGTGCTGCTAAATCCCCCTCCCCCCACAAATAAAAAACCTTGTAAACCTGTTGGGGAGACACCTGGTGAGACCTAGCCAAAATAGCTTTCCGTACACCAAGCACTCAGCTCCGCCTAGTGGTGAACAGGGAGAGATGCCTGGAAATAGACAGCAGGGCAGCTGGAGAACATCCGTCCACAAGTAGGGGAAAGTGGCCCTCTGAGATCTTGGTGTGGTGAACTGCTCACCTGTCATAGTAGTCCCTGTGCCCTCTGTGATCTCGGTCGCTGCTGTACTGCTCATACGGCCGTTTGCGTGATGGGTTGTTTATTCGGTAGTTGCCCGAACTGCGATGAGGATCCCCACGCATCCGCCGGTCTCCATAGTGGTGCTCCTTGTACCAGTGTTGCTCATACTGATGGTGCCGTTCTCCCCACATCTGGCTGGCATTTCCACCATAGCTGAATTTGCGATCCCTCTGCCATTCCCCTCGATCTGCAGGAAAGCAGAGGGTCTTTTGCAAGATGAGCCTTTTATAAAAGGTCCCTGGAGCAGCAAACGTCCTTTTTGGAACAGTGCTGCAGACCACCTGAGGGCTCTGTAAGAGCTGTTCTGGGGCTCTTCTTAGAGGACACCAGCAAGAAGGACCTCCCAAAAGGCCCCTTAAGCTTTCACAGCCAGGATCCGATGGTTGTTGTAGGTTTTTTGGGCTGTTTGGCCGTGTTCTAGAGATTTTTCTTCCTAACATTTTGCCAGTCTGTGGTGCCAGCCTCTTCAGAAGAGTCTGTGGCCGGCCTCTTCAGAAGACAGGAGCTAGAACCTCTGTGTTCTGGTGTAGTGTGTGGGATTGTTGAGCATCTGTAGCTGTGGGATCAGGTTTTTATTCTTTTCAGGTGATTGGGTGATTTCTGTTCTTTTCAGGAGATTGGGTGATTTCTGTGATCAAGGTGGGTTTTTTTTTTGTTATGGGTGTTTTGTTGTGATACAGGGGGAGATGATCTGTCACTATGATTGCAACATTTGTCAAAAATAACTAATTCATCAACAAGCTGGTCATAAAATCCTATTTCAAAATACAGAAGTACTGGACAACACCAGCAATCATTATGTTAGACTACACAGGGAAGCCACTGAAATTCACAAACACCAGCACAGTTTCAACAAAAGAGAAGAACATCTAAAAATCAACAAAACCTGGCTCCCAGCACTGAAAAAAACAACCTGCAAAAAGGTCAATGAACTCTACCCAGCCACAAGGACCGGTGATCACTGCACACAAAAGACTAGCCAACAACACCCATCAATCACAGTGACAGATCATCTCCCCCCCTTTTCACAACAATACACCCATAACAAAAAAAACATCCTGATCACAGGAATCACCCAATCTCCTGAAAAGAACAAAAACCTGATCCCACAGCTACAAATACTCAACAATTCCACACACTACCCCAGAACACAGAGTTCTAGCTCCTGTCCTCTGAAGATGCTGGTCACAGAGACTGACGAAACGTTAGGAAAAAAAATCTCCAGAACACAGCCAAACAGCTGGAAAAACCTACAACAACCAACTCCAATTTTGTTACAAGAGAATTGGGGGGCATTCAAAAGTGCTAATTCCATTGATGTCAAATGAATAAATTTTGCAAACATGATCTCTTTGGACTACAAATGTCAGGATGGGATGGCCACACTAGCTTGAGGTGTTCTGGGATCTGTAGTTGAAAATTCTGGAAAAGGCAAGTGAGGCTTAGAAGGACTTGGTCAGTCAGGTGGAATCTCATGGGGTGGGGGAGAGGGAAAGGATGCTGGCATTTCCTCTTTGGTCCCCTACCTGCATTAGTGAAGTGCCTCTTATTTGGGTGACTGTAATTGTCCCGTTGGTGCCCGTGCACCTGGGAAGGATGAGGTGGAGGCTGGTGGAGCTTCTGAGAATGAGGGCCGTGAGGAACCTGAGACATTGTAGGATCTCGGCTGGACCCAGAAGGCTCCAATCGGAACGGGTTCTTATCCCCCTGCAGTCTCCTTTTTCCTCTGTTCTTGCTGAGGGCAAAATAAGATGGAGGAAAGGGGGGTATTAGAAGCAAAGTCTAAAAAGGCTTCTGGGCTTTGTGCTGCCTGACCCACCGAAGTGGGGCTTTACAAGAGGGCTTCACACCACAAATGTGTCACTGGACAGGGAAATACGCTCTTTCCTATCCATGCTAGGACCCCCTCGTGATCTCCTAACTCAGTGATGGTGAACCTATGGCATGCATGCCACAGCTGGCACGCGAATGAGTGGCCGACCCACCCACCCTTGTGGAAACAAACCTTTTGAAGTGGCCGCAGCTGGGATTCCCCCTTTCTCTTCCTGTTCTGGGTCCTTTAACTTCCTGTCTGTCCCCATGATTCCCCCGTTAACTTCCTGTCCGTCCCCATGATTCCCCCTGAAACTGCCACTTCCTGTTCTGGTTCTGGTCTTCCGGGAGACACGGCAGCCACTGGTTTCTTCCCTACCCCCTCATTTTGGGCACTCAACCGAAAAAGGTTTGCCTCCACTGTCCTAACTACTCTTTGATGAGGAAGTTCTGGGTAGGCTATTTTCACTGCCTCTTATTTTTACATCTCAATTCCGCCATCCTCATATGCTCATCTTTCTTAGAATAGTTAATGTGGTGAATGCACACATTTAGTTACCCCTTTTATTTTACACTTATTACATCTCTATCCCACCTTTCTTCCAAAAAACTAATAGTCCACATGGACATCAGCACCAAGTTACCCTCACAAAGTATTCTTGGAGGTATGTTAATCTGAGGAAGTAATTAGGTGAGGGTCACCCAGCAAGCTTCAGGACTAGAGATGGGCAAAAATCAGAAAATGGCAACTCAGTTGGATTTGTGATTCATCAAGGTTGACGAATCACAAATAACAAATTTGCATTTTTTCTGACAAATCAGTTCATCAATTTGTTTTTCCCTTTAAAACCCTATAAAATGTGCCCCATAGTACCTAGAGATACATAAAGTGCCAGGAAGCTTCCGTTGACTCTCTTATACAAGCCCTGCAAATTTAGTGATGTTTGAATTTCAGATGGCTGGTTAATATACCCACAAAGACAGCCCCTCCCCAGGAAAGTTCTCCCTCAGGGACTTAAGAGACACCAAAATCATAGAGAAACTTTCTATGACTCTCCTCTACAATCCCTCTAAGTTTGGTGAAGATTGGGCTTCAGACACCCAAGTTATGATCCCTCTAAGTTTGGTGAAGATTGGGCTTGAGACACCCAAGTTATACACCCACAAAATGAGTCCCCCAGGAAAGTGCCCTTTAGCAGCTAGCTTGGAGAAACCCAATATTCACGACACATGGAGCGATTGTAGAAGACACCAGGGAAGGTGTCTTTAGGTACCTGGGGGAAACTTTCCAAGGGGGCAGGCTTTGGGTGTATGTAACTTAGATATCCAAAACCCAATCTTTACCAGACTTGGAGGGGATTGTAGCAGAGAGTCAGGGGAAGCTTCCCTACAATTTTGGTATCTCTAGGTGCCTGAGGAGAGTGTTTTATAAGGGGAAGCTTCCCTACAATTTTGGTATCTCCAGGTGCCTAAGGAGAGTGTTTTATAGCCCAAGGAATCAATGAATCAAAAATCACTAAAAATTCATAAATTGGCATTTGTTGGGGCTCTGATTCAGACAAATACGAATTGATGAATTAGCAATTTTTGACAAATGTTGCAAGTCATTTTTTAAATTCATGCCCATCTCTGTTCAAGACATGGCTGCCCTCAACTGTAGGTCCATCCCTCAAGTCACCAAATACATTTCTCTGGACTTCATTAGTAAGTAAAGATCTTTCTCAAGTTCCTCCAGAAAAGGAACAGGATCTGTACTAAATTAAGCAATCCTCTTCCAAGCACATGCCAGTTTCTGAGAGTGTGTCTGTACAACTCAGGTCTCTCCTTGGGTACATTCTCTTTGCCTCTTTCATTTCTTAACTTATTTCTGCATCTGCCATTCATGATCAAGAGTATGTCCCCAAGGCGCCAGTTTCAAAGAGATTGACATCTCCATTTTCAACCTCACCTCCTCATCCTGCAACCGCTTCTTGTGAGCCATCTTATAGAGTTTGTGGAGCTTTCTTGCATCAAATTCAGTAAACTTTGACGCAAATATCCACAGGTTCCTGGAAGATAAAACGATGATTTCCCCCTGCTCTTACAAACTGTTGAATGGCAAACTGAAACCCGCTCTTCCACTACCAGCTGAACTGAAAATCCCCATCTTCCTTTCAACTCAAACCCATGCTCTAGCCAACTGTAATCTAGAGGGTAACTCTTACAACTCATGGACAGCTCTCTTTGCATAGCCCAATCTGGGGTTCTGTTTCTGTGTTCTATGAGCAATGTGACTCAAGGACTAGCAGAAAGAAGGGGCAAAATTACCTTCTCCATAGCTTGATGTGCTCCTGGTCAGAGTAAGTTTTCAAGCATTCTGAGATGCGATCTCCAATCTTCAGCAGGCAGCTTCGTGTGTGCTCCAGCTGTTCTTGGACAGAAAGCCCCTTGTCTGGCTTATCCAGCTGCTTCAGAGCCTTTTTAACTGGCCGCATTCTCTCTTTGCACTTGGAGAGGAACAGGTGAGAGAGCAAAGATGCACATCAGTGGCACAAAAGAGTTAGGAAGAGGACCGTTCAACCTTCCTGCATCATTAATAATCCTTCTCCCAACCATTCAAAATCAGAGATGCACCGGAGAGAACAGGGAAGGGAAGGATTCAGCAAGACTCCCAGGCACTTCCCCTCCTTTCTATCTATGTCCCATGAGTAAATCCTTACGATGCTGAAAGTTTCCTGGTCCAGGTCGTCGTCCTCATCTTCTCCAATGGGGACAGGCTCGCTCCCTGCTGTAATGTGGACAGGACCCTGAGATCGTTTCCCTTTGCTTCCAGATTTACCTTCGCTGCCTTTGGGCTGTGAAAGGACAATATGTTAGCCATGCTGGAGGTGAACGTAAAGCCAGGTATGTGCTCTGATTTCAAATCAGAGGGGGAAAGGGGCAAAACGGTGGCACCAGAGTCACATCATTGTGCTCTCTGGGACTCCCACCTCAATGTCAAAGAAGGAAGCGCTGCTAGTTGAGAAGACATGTTTAGAAGTGTATGTCCAATACCTCCTGACTCCCTGGTTACACTTTTCAGAAAAACTTTGGTGCAATATCTAGTATTGCTCCTCAGCTTCCCCAGAGACAAGCAAAGCCAGACTAAAACCACACAAAGTGAGAAAAATCATGCAAATAGGCATAATTTATAAATGCAAAATATATAAAGCTGGAAGACAGTTATTTATGTACAGACAATGCAGAGCACAGGCTGCCATGATACTGAGGCACATCTTCATATATACAGCACTTTTGATCTGTGCAAGCTGATTTGGACAAAAGTAAAAACAAGAAGAAATTGATACACCTGCAAAAGATCACACTAAAATATAAAAAAATTTAAGGTGTTTCCATTTTTCTTTTGTTTTTGCCTGGGTGATCTTGAACAGTGTGTTTTCAACAGACAGCCACAGAACATCTGATGAGCAACATTGAAGGTGCACTGTTCTGGGGATGCAGCAACTACAAAGGGAAGTTCTACCTCTTGAGTTATAATGGTGATAGACAACCAACACATGCTAAGGCCACGTTGTTAAATACCTATGCAATGGAACCGTATTAGGGAAGCCGAAATGGCTTCTGCTGGTGAGAGCAGGAAGAGACAGACTCTGTCAAATTCTATGGCAACGGGTATCTTGTACCTTCTCTTTTTTGTCCTTTGTTTTCTTTCTCTCTTTCTCCCCTTCCTTTTCTTTTTTACTTGCAGTCTGTTTTTCTTTGTTTTCTTTATTCTCCTTTTTCTTCTGCTTCTTTTTCACAGGGCTTTTATCCACTCCATCCTCCTAGAGAAAAGAGAGGGACAGCTAACCCATTTATTGTTTGAATAATTTCTCATCCCTCCTTTCCTTGGAAAGATCCCAAGGACGATAACACCACTCAACAAAAAGCAATAAAGGAAGCAACAATATTATTTTAAAAACGAAGAGCACTGGAGTTTAAATCAGAAGGCACCCAGTGAAGTAAATGGCTTCTAGCCAAATCTGAACAACTTTGCCGAAAGACATAGTATACAAAGTCAAGTTTACCTTAACTTCTCCTTCCTCAGACTGGTTGTCTGACTGCTGAGGAGGAGAGACATCATTCCCATGCTCATCCCTGCCTTTGGGAGACTTTTCCTTTTTCACACGGGGCTTCCTCTTCTTCACCTTGCTCTAAGGTAGGAGAAAAGCCAGTTAAAATGAAAAGATAATAAACTTGCAATCTTCCGCAGGAACAATTCCTTCTAGGCCTGACAGCTGACGTACGGCACCCTTAGCACACTGTATGTGAGAGCCAGATGCCACTCCACTCAGCCCGCTTGGGCTTCCAGTTCCCCAAAAGCAGTCCCTGCATGCTCCTAAGCTTACATCTGCCACCATGAAGACTTGAAGCTTGAGTTTTCCACTTAAAGCGATTTAATCCCCAACGGACAGCAAATCATTCACGCCACCCAGTCCAATGCTCTTGAGGTTTCTGCTGAATTGGGCTCTTGAGGAAACTAACCTCTTCTGTCTCCTTCGTGCTTTCATTTTTCTCCATGTGTTTCTTGAGGATTTTCAGCAAGTAATCCACACGAGCCTGGAGCTGCTTCCCCTGAGGCTTTTTGTCCGTCTCAACAGGCAGGATCTTAAGGGAGAGGGGAAACATTTTCAAAAACATGGTCAGATTTTAAAGCCAACCTAGGAGGGTGGTGATGGGAAGAAAGCCAGGAAAACCTACCCCTAAAAAGATACCACTGGTAACAAGGACTCATTTGCTCAAAGCATTTAGCCCCTTCCCCATTTCAGATGCAGAAACCAGACTTGGTTGCTTCTAACTGTACAATACCTATTGCTACACCTGAGACAGCAGGCTGGGGGGGGGATGGGCAGAAGAAGCTGGGTACCATACCCAGCTCATTTGACCCCTAGAAAAGGGAAGCAGGCACCAGACAGCAGATTACTGAGCCCTCCTCCAGCATCTGGCATCTGACAAGAGTACCCCACTGTGCCAAATGATAGGACTGGCCCTAACTCGTAAGCTCTATAAAGACTTCAGTCACAGAATTCAGAATTCCTCCATGGAGGAAGCCAAGTCCTAGCCAAACACATACACTCACGCTACACAAAAACAACATGATTTGTGTGATGTTTCTTGTTACCTTGTCAGTTAATTTCAACTCTGGGTCTGACTTGATGAGTTCCCAGTTCCCGTAGCCATGTTCATAGATTCCCCACAGCAAGTGAGAGTCATCCTCCAGTCCCCACTCAACATCAAAATGGGCAGCTTTGACTCGATAGGTCAGGCAGAACCTACACATTTAATCAGAGATAAGAGATGTGAGATGGAGTCCTTCTTAGAGATGAGCCTCGTGGCGCAGTGGTTAAACCGCTGTACTGCAGCCAAAACTGGGCTCACGACCTGGGGCTCAATCCCAGGTAGCCGGCTCAAGGTTGACTCAGCCTTCTATCCTTCCGAGGTCGGTAAAATGAGTACTGGGGGGGGGGGGGCAATGTGTAGCCTGCATAATGAACTTGTAAACTAGACAGTGCTTGAAGCGCTATGGGGCGGTATATAAGCAGCATGCTTTGCTTTGCTTTCATGTTAGTGCCCTCCTCTGGGGCGGTATATAAGCAGCATGCTTTTTTTTCTTTCATGTTAGTGCCCTCCTCTGTGGCTGAGGGAGGAGAAGAATGAAGACAGGATGGAAAGAAAATCCTCCAAGTTCATATTTCTGTATAGAAAAGTCTTTTTGAACTCCCAAACTGGAAACAGAATAGAGTTCCCATAAAAACACACACCTTTCTAAGGAAGCTAATGAACTTTGGGGTTGGGGGGAGCACACAGAAAATGATGCACGCTTCACGAACGGCCATAGACCTGCCTTTGTTCTTCCCACCCAAAGGCTCCCAAGTCACCTGGCCCTTTCCTCTGGATCCTTTGGAATTGTCTGGTGGAGCATGGCAAAATCCTCTTCGTGCTGGATAATGGCTTTCACGTTCACTTGGACCCCAGAAATCTTAATAGTGGGGCCTCTCCTCTTCCCTGGACCTTTGCCTGAAAAAACAACAACCCATAATCTACGTGTCAGTTAAAAGCAATCAAGGGGGGGGGGGCAGAGTTACTGCTTTAAAACACACAAGCATCCAGAAGGGAGTTCGCCACTTTCTTCCCCTTGTCCCAAAGGTGCCAAACTCGCCCTTCTGGAAAAGCAGCACTGCCTATCCTCAAACCAGGCTTGCATGGCATCCTTTAGTGCACTGGTTCTTAACCTTCGGTTACTCGGGAGTTTTGGACTGCAACTCCCAGAAGCCTTCACCACCTGCTGTGCTGACTGGGGTTTCTGGGAGTTGCAGTTCAAAAGCATCTGAGTAACAAAGGTTAAGAACCACTGCTTTAGTGCAGAGGTCTGTGGCCTGAGCTGGACTGGGCCATGAAGACCGACCTCCCACCCCCCCTGCACATACTTCCCTCTCCACAGCTGCTTTGCGCACGTGTGCGTGTGCCAGCGCCGGTGTGAGCGCTCCGGAGAAAGACCTCCCGCGCCCCCACACCCACTCCCCTCCCCACACCTGCTTTGCGTTCATGCGTGCCACTACCAGTGTGAGCACTCCCCCACCCCTTCACACATGTGCCCAAGTGCCTGAGCATCTGCGCAAAGGGGTGGGTGGGCGTGCAGGCAAGCAGGAGCCCCTGCGCATGCACGAAGGGGTGGGGGAGCGCTCACGCCAGTACCTGCAGGGCTCCCCCACCTTCCTCAGAGGCTCAGCCGGTCCACGGTCCCAAAATGGTTGCTTTAGTGGACAGTGGCCCTTACCCCCAGACAACTCCGAGAAAGTTATAAAGAAATCAGTTCCCCTTTCAGGCTCAGAAGTGACTACTATGTAACGAGGACTGAAAGGGGAATACTTTGAAAGATGTTTGCAAGTCAAATTTCAAAGGCAATCCAAAACTGCTCACAGTTATCCGTCCATCGGATAAACAAACAGCAAGAGATTGGAACTGACCCGTTTGATTCCAGACAGGCCAGCTGAAGTCCCTGGGTAACCAAGAGCTGAGCTAAGGCAGCAACTTAAACTCTGCAGTTTTTTTTCCTCACACACCTGCCCTGTCCTCTTGCGGGAACTAGAAAAATCTCCTAAGTCAGGAGAGAAGGGGAGATGTAACTTAATGAGGGCCACCAAGCCCTGTGAAACCTCTAGTTAGTTTCCCCTCCATACACACAACCTCCAAGAGGATCAAACTTTTGGAATTTATTGTGGCCTGCCACTATAACAAGTTATGCGGAAACTGAAAAGGTTGCTTTTTTGGACTACAACTCTAGAATCCACAACTGATATGGCCAAAAAAGGAGCTCTTCTCATCTCTGCTTTGTTGCTTGGCCTTTCCTGGGCTCAGCAGGAGAATTTATTTATTTACTTAAAAATATTCCAGTCCCACTTTTCTCATTATACATTGTGCAAGAATAAGCAAATGAGCTTATTTGGCCCAATGCGTACAAGCTGCAGAATTCAACTCTTCTCCCCAAACATCCTAGACTAGCTGATGTGGGATTTTAATTATCGATGGAAGGGTTCCTAATCCCAAAACTTTATCAAGAAGGCCACTTTCCTGACCTTCCGTGGGGTTGTCTTTCAGCTGCTCTTCATACTCCTGCATGGCTGAAACGCAAGTGTTGTGAAGAAGCTCCCCCAAGCGTTTCAGGTCAGCCACTGACTTGTCCACCAGCTCAGCATCCCGAGCGATGCACTCCAGACTGAAGGAGGAAGAGGCAAGTGAGAAAAGCAAAGGCAGGAGGGGGGGGGGGAGCTGCAAAGAAACAACAACCCAGAAGTGCTTTCATTTGTCCTGCCTTCTGATCAGCGACAATGATAATCCGGTATAATGTTGCCCTCCTCTGCACCACCCAGAGAATGAGGGAATACAGTATGTAGTCATACTGCCTTTCATGCATTTTAGCCTCAGCTTGCTTGGTTCTTTCCCTATCAGTTACATTCTTTTTCTGCCTTTCCTCCAAAGAACTTGAAATGAACGTCACAGACTGTCCTTCTCACTCACACATACACATATACACACAAACACACACACACACCCCTCGTAAATGTCATCACAGCATTGAACCAAAAGCAAAGGAATCTTTCTTTGCAGAGAAAAATGCACTTCCCCAGCCAAAAGACAAACTCAGTCCCACATGCCATATAAAGGTGTCTTTTTTATTATTTCAGGTGTCTCCATATTATTTTATTTATGCATGCTATGAAAAAAGCACCATAACAAAGATGCCATGTTTTGGGCCATGGATACACCTTCCTTCCACTTTTATTCCCACACAGTAAATAGAATCACTCAGCTGTTTGTAATAAACCCAGGAATCGTGGGACTAAGGAAGAGAATGCAACTCAGCCACAGGGCCAGAGATGGGAGAAAATTCAATTTTGGACTACAGCTCCCAGAATCCCTCAGCCAGGAGAAATGAGGGATTATGGGAGCTGTAATACAAAAAAAAAAAAACAAAAAAAACTAACTTGATGCTTATGCTGCATGAATGTTCACATGGAGAAGGTCTCCAAGTTCAATCCCTGACATTGCCAAAAAAATCTCTTTCCACTTACCGTTCCAGAGGATCTCCAAACTTCTTATAGGCCTTAATAAACCTGTGGTATTAAAACAAAGAGGCAACAACAACTGTCAGAGACTTTTGTCCAAGCGATCTCTGTGGGGCAGTGACCAGACTGTCACAGCTGTGTCAAAATCCACCCACAAACCCTGCCAACATCTAACACCTAAGCCCTAGTTGTGAGACTGCATTCCACCTACACTGCTTGGTGCTGAATTCAGCATGGAGCATGCCATGGCACACATTCAAAAGCCACATCTGTCAACTCTTGGCAATTTGGACATGCAAGGGGTGGGAGGACTGTGGCTTGTATATAAGTGAAGGTAGATCAACTGATCCACAAGCACACAATGAGCAGCATCATATTCATTACAACTAAAATAGGCACGGGCTTTTTCTCTGCATTAATTTATTTTATCCATTGCCTTTATACCTCACCCATCTAGTGTTGAGGCACCTATGATTCCAACTATACTGACTTATAATCCACTCGATCTATCGACTACAACTGCCCTGCTAGGAAAAAGTTTTGATCAGTAACTTTGCAATCTGTTATTATTAAAGTCCATCACCACGGGCTGAAAGTAACCATCACTGATTTGGAATTTAGGAACCCCTGCAAAAGTGTTGTGAGGATTTGCTTTTACCCTAAGTCCTACAGACAATGAAGACTGTTTGAGAGTCTGGGACTGAGGGAGAAATAAAGGAAAGGAAGAAGCCAGTAATTTGCAAAGTCTGTTTGGGCTCAGCACCAACCTCCTGATCTCTGGATCCGTGAACCCTTCTACCATGTCCTTCCGGACACTGCGAGGCCGCCCTCTGCGCTTGGGCCTCTTTTCATCGTCCGAGTCCTCGGTCTCGCTCTCTGAGCCGGATGACCTCTGCAACTTTCTCTTCATCTCAATGTCTGAATCACTATCGTTGGCCTGAGCCTATAGGGATGCAGAAGACACGGTTGTTAGAAGTCAGCAAGATTGCGAAATTCCTGTTCAGTACGTCGACTTCCATTGGTCCACAGCACCAAAAAGATTGGGTCCATTGCTTTTTCTGATACTGTTAAAATGTACCCCTGAATTGTGCAAAAGAAAGCTCACTGTCAGGAAGAAAGCCTCAGAGAAAGGCAGAGCAGCCTGTGCAAAGGTTCTATAGGCTCCTGTGTACTTCGAAAGCTAAACCAAGCACATAAAACCTTTTGTAAGTACCTTTCCAATCTCTTATGCAGTTTATCAGGGCTTATTTAGCACGAAATATCTCATTTTGAATTTATCTATCTTGTTTCTTAAACAGGGCAGAATTCTGCTGCTTTTAATCAAGTAACCAAGGGAAACAAACAAACAAATAGATAAATAAATAAATAAATTTAAATAAATAAATAAAACGACAGAAATAGCCACAAAAGACTGGCATTTGTAGCATGTTGCTCACACCTCTTGCCATGCATCTTATACACATCCAGTGTACTGTATATCAGCAGCAATAACCTCAGATATTTCTCTTCTACAAGCAGTTAAAAATAAGAGGGTTCTTCCACTTTTTGTAACTTAAACACTGGAAGGCATCTCTCCACAGCCCCAGACCACACAGCTAAAAGTGAAGGATGATGGGAGTGGCTATCCAGCAACTGTTGTAAGGCCACTAACTGCCCATTCTGAGCACATCCACATAATGTCTGGCAGCCATCAACTGACCTCTCTTTCTCCATCAACTTGTCCAATCCTTTTTTAAAGCCATCTAAGTTAGCAGCGACCACCACATCTTGCGGCAGGGGATTCTATATACCAATTACACATTATATACAGAAAGAAAGTCCTTTTTTTTTTTTTTTTTCTTTCCTTACTCTCCCCCCAACTGACTTCGCAACTGACTTTGGTGGTTTGCCTCCAAACCTCTACTATTATAAAAAAAAGTGTTAGAAACATCTCTATATTCAAAAAAGAAGGTTGGAAATTTTCACATCTAAGGCAGATATTCCTAAAAACCTGCCTTCTACACACACTAACGCACTCTGCTTTTCTGCAGCACGGGAGTTCACACGGTCTCAGGCGTACCTTTTTAGCTGAACTGCGAATTCTGGGGAGCATGTAGATCTCCTCTAGTTCCTTCTGTCGCTCCTCTTCCTCCACTTTCTTTCTCTGCTCCTCAGGGATGATATCATCCCAGTCCTTCTGAGATTTCTCCTCCAGCTCAGCTTCTTCTTCCTCCATCGTTGCAAAGTTAGCCACCTGTCAGTAAAAACATAGATCATTACGGACTTTGGCAAAATGTTCACACCACTTTTCAGAAGCCACCAGCCCACTTCCCTTGAATCCTGGCCACTACTCTGCACCAGAAAATATCCAGGCACAAAAAGAAAGGTGAGCACTAATGTGCACCTTCTCCAAGGCCACCAAACACAGCATGCACAGGGCTTAACTGACAGCATGTCCCTGGAAGACCTAGGGTAGGTTGTGTTGATGTTTTCCATTGCTTACAGGAACTCAAATTTGCTGTATAGCATTTAAAGCAAGCACAAATCTATACTAAATTGGAAACGTGTGTTTACATTCCCTTCCTGTGTCATAAACTGCTGTGGCCCGATGAGGACCAACTAAGCAACCTGGAGATTACATGGCCAGGACCTATCCCATGGCCAAGCACCTAACACATTCCATAAAACAAGTGTGGCTGCTCCTTTCTTGTGTTTTATGGAAGCTTCAAGATTCCAAGGTTCCATGGATGTGCAGAGAAGCCCCATGTGTGTGATTCACAGGGACCAAGAAGAACAGAAAACTTCAGGCCTACATGGAGGTTACCTGAGGCCTCTCCATTACCCTGAACAATAATGATTCCTTTTCTCCCAAGCCCATACCTTAAACTGGGAGAGCAGCTCATCCGTTGCACTTGTAGATACTTCATTCTCTCGTGTTTCTGCCAAGCGTAAGATTTCCTCAATGTCCATCTCCTAATAATGGGGGCAAAGGTTGGATAAAAGGAGGACAAGAATTAAACACAAAAGGGAGAAGATGCAGTTACCGCATTCCAAGGGAGAGAGCACCTGAGAGGAAGGGAAAGGATGTTCAGCGCTTCAAGGGGAGTGGGCTAATGGACAGAGGTGGCATCTCCCAAACTTTACAGCATTTTGTAAGTTGGGGTGTGTACATAGTCCCTCTCAAACCTTCTCCCCCAAAAGGTTCACTAGGAGAGTCTTTAAGAAGGGGGTAATTCTTCAGCCTCAGTGACACCTGCTGAGGTTTTGCAGCAGCACCTGCTCCAGGATATGTCACCAGTGTGGAAGAAAGGTTGAGCACCAGAATCGGGCAGAGACCTTGCAGACCTGCCAGCCATCTTAGAATATTCAATTCACATCTTACTTGTACAACATCAGTATGGGAAGCAGAGCATCATAGAAACACACAGGGAAGAATAAAATATCAGGCAGTTCCTACATATCTCACACTGTACTGGACCCAAGGATACTGGACAAGGAAGAACGGGCTGAAACTGGATCCAGAGAAGATGGAGATCAGGTTGCTTGGGGGGTGGGGATTTCCCCCTACCTGTCTGGGGGCTATTTCCCCTAAACCTGAGGGGGTTGCCTCCCTGTAATGGATCAGGTGTACAGTCTGGACATGATTTTATACCCAGAGCTGATCCTGAGAAAACAGGCCTCGGTTGTGGTCCGCTCCACCGTCTACCAACTTGGGCAAATTGCATAACTGCATCTCTACCTAGACAGCAGGTCTCTAGCAACACGGATAGTCTCAGTTATTGACTACTGCAATGCAATCTATGTGGGGCTTTCCTTGAGGCTGGTACAGAAGCTTCAGGGGGTCCAGACGTTAGTGGCCAGATTGGTGCCTGGCATGAGGAAGTTTGACCACATCACCCAATTCTGGTTCACCTGCACTGGCTACCGATCCAATTCCATGCCATATTCAAGGTCTTGGTTCTAACATATAAAGCCTTAAACGGTTTTGGACCTTGCCACTTGTCTGAACGTCTTCTGCCACGTTTGAGTGCCTGCCTGTACTCATTCTCCCAGACTTCACCCCTGTGGGTGTTACCTTCCGGAGAAGCATGGAAAAGAGTAACCAGAAACTGGGCTTTCTCTGCAATGGCACCATCTGTATGTCAGTATGGAATTCTCTCCTACACGAAACATAACAAGTGCCCTCCCGTCAAATATGCAAAAAGCACCTGAACTGGAACGATTCAGAGAAATCTCTGGGGAGAATCACCTCAAACAGCTGGGACAATTGGAGGAAGGAGGAGAAGAATGTAGTACTGCAGTGTTTCCAAAAATCGTTTGGCTACCTGTTTTGGGTTATGATTCATATTGTTTGTATTATTATGCACATTTAATTTATTGTACACCACCCAGAGTAGAAATTTGCTAGGTGAGTGGTATATACCTTGAATGAATGAATGAATGAATGAATGAATGAATGAATGAATGAATGAACGAACGAATAAGTTGCCCAAGAACCATAAAGACAAGCTCACCTGTGGTTCAGATTCTTCCCCTTCTGCTTCCTTGAAAAGGTCCTCAGCTCCAAACTTCAAGATGGCTGTCAGCTCTTCTTTGTTAAAAGGGTTTGAGCTATAGAGAAACAAGAAGGAAAGACTGAACCTTCCACGATGGCTCTCACTCAAGAGTGGATGACTTCTCTTTGAGGGTAGCAGCTCATTCTAAAATGCAAGACGAGTCACACAAATACACATGTCTGTTCTGATCATGGTCCCATTGGCACTTCCTCCCAGTTCTCCAAGGACAGGATTAAACAAGTGTCGTCCACTTTAATTTGCAATCCAATGATGGGAAGAAATCTCACCTGGTTTCTATTAGATTAACATACTGCATACTGTACACAATCATTAATTTAAATAAAATGAACTAATTGGTTAATTCTATTTATTTCATTGTGTCAAACTGTCAAAACAGCCTTTGATGGAGAATTGTTTGAAATTACGTCCAACAATCAGTTCCAACATCAACAGATCCACTGAGTGAACACGACTTGTTAAGTCTACATGAATGCAAGTCCCACTAATTCATCAGAGCTACTCTAAGTAGACCTTGCAATATGATCTAGCCATGCCAATTCTACAACTGAATTGACTGAAGGGATGTTTCCTCTTTTGTCTCTTCTCATCCTAGTTACTTATTCCAGGTAGTAGGAAACCTACCAACTATTCCTAATGAACTATTACTGACTTGAATTTTCCTGTGCTTACAGGGCTAGAATCAAAGCCACAGGAGTGAGTTGTAGATTTTTTTAATAAAAAAGTTTTTTAAAAAAAAATAATGCTTTCAGCAGCAGAAGATCAAATCAGGAAAAACAGGCCATAATTACCCCATGAACACAATACCTGATTGAATTTTGGAAAACACTGACAACAGAGCGAGAGGAGAAATTGAGAAGTGAGAATATGAATGCAAAGATATACAGGCAGATATGTTTCTACAAAATGCACAAAGAACCACCTCATTCTGGTGAAAATCTTGCTCTGGTTTGAGAAGATATGTTTACATGTTCCCAGTGATGGAAGAGCTGCCCATAGAGCCCAATGGAGAAAGTAAAGCATTTCACATCGCTCGGGCTAGGAACAAATATGTTTGCCCTGAGGACACAGGGCAGTGGGTCCTTCTGCCCCCATTCATTATCTCTCACTCTATTTAGGATGCAAATTTTCCCATTAAAAAGTGATGAAAACTGCATAAACCTGTGTCCAGAAAAAGCAAAGGTAATCCACACGATGGACACCATGTTACACACAGATAGAAACCTATTTTTTTGAAGGCAGCAAGCAGGAACAGTGTATTCTGAAGAAAGTATATAGGCCACTAAGGCTTTTCGTAAAACCCTCAAGTCATCTCTCCCAACGAAGGGACAAGCATTTCTTCTGCAGAAAATGAAGACTCCTGCTCCTAGAGAGTGCAAATCCTCTACTAAATGGTATTCCTCCCCACAACTTAATGTCACTTCCAGTTGTTCCAAGGCGGGTGTGTGTGTGGCTGCAGTCCCCGGACTCTCCCCAATTTGCCCACCCTAGGACCTGCTGTTTGGTGTTTGCAACCCACAGTCCCCACCTTGGGCACCGTCTTCTTACACCTCTATCCGTGCCTTACTTGGTTCTGCCAGAGCTGTTGTCCAGAACAGTCCGACCGGTGGTATCCATACGCTGTATCACAAGATGGTCCAGCACCATCTTTTTCTTGGCTCTTTCAATAATCTCCTCTTCCACTGTCCCCTTGGTAACCAAACGGTAGATGTTCACCTGCAGGGAAAAGAGGGCATCAGGTAGTTGCACTGATACATGGCTCAAGTCACCAATCCCGTCACTGATTCACTGTTCCAAAGCTTAAAAGAAAAAGGATGTTTGTTTTTCTTTCCAGCCCCATGATCTCTGATCCTTTTAAACAAAGATGTCAGAGGCTAAACCACAGACTCCTGCTTCCTATATCTGTACTCTGTCCACATCTGGCAAAAGCCATGGGGGCTTCAAGAAGGATCACACCGGGAGTGTGGAAAATACTACCCATTTCGTGTTCCGTGGCAAGACTGCTTGCCCAGAATTCTCTAATTCCTGCAAAAGCTTTCACCATTAAAGTGGAAACAAGACAATAAAGACCTAGCTGGTGTTTTCTGCACTTTATGCAAAATGTAGCAGGGTTCTGTAGTTTGTGCAAAATGGCAAAACACCATATTTTTCAGTAATAAGCATCTTTCAGGGAAGTCCATAATCAGTTTCGTAAATCTGCATAATCATCCAGACCAACAGCAACAAATTCTCCCTGACTCATAGCAGTAACAAAAATTCTTGCACTTCCTTGATCATGGAGTAAGTCTCCCACCCTCCTATCACCCATACATCAAAGTCTTTGCTCTGTACAACCATGAAATAAATCTTTAAAGTGCTACATTATTTCATCTTTTCCCCGCTTTTATTTCTTCTTTATTTTTGCTGATTCCTAAGGGTTTACTCAGTAGTCATGACGGTATGGCAAGGTGTCACCTCCACACACACCTACCATTATGGATTATCCATCTTTTGACATGTTAACAGTTAACTATGAACCAAATAGCACTTTTTACCACCCTAGTCGTCTCCCGTGGCACTCCAGCTTTGTTACGGAGTGACTTGCAAGATAGGAAAGGGTAAAAAACACTAGCTCATTGGATGTTAGGACTGGGATGGGGCAGAAGATAGATACCCTTCTCCTCCCAGGAGTTCTCCTCATCCCTTTGCCTCCGTCATGTTAACAGTTAACTATGAACCAAATAGCACTTTTTACCACCCTAGTCGTCTCCCGTGGCACTCCAGCTTTGTTACGGAGTGACTTGCAAGATAGGAAAGGGTAAAAAACACTAGCTCATTGGATGTTAGGACTGGGATGGGGCAGAAGATAGATACCCTTCTCCTCCCAGGAGTTCTCCTCATCCCTTTGCCTCCGTTCCAATTCCATAGATACCCTTCTCCTCCCAGGAGTTCTCATCCCTTTGCCTTCGCTCCAATTCCTTGAAACAGAACCCAGAGGCAAACCAAATCAGACTCAGCAAAAGGAGGTCAAGCGAGAGGAGATCCTGCCCAGGAGTATCTACTATTGCAAAAATTTTAGGGCTAACATCCTCTAGCTGCACATGCAACCCAAGAGAGACCCATGAGATTCTGGGTGCTCCCCTCACCTGCTTTTTCTGCCCAATTCGATGAGCACGAGCCTGGGCCTGCAAATCATTCTGAGGGTTCCAGTCTGAGTCAAAGATAACCACGGTATCAGCAGAGGCCAAGTTGATCCCCAGTCCACCAGCTCTTGTGGACAGCAGGAAGCAGAAGTCCTGAACACACGACAAAAGGACCGGCTGTTAAAACATACGTCACCGCCTTGACTCAGCAAGGATGTTGATTAAGCAAGGAAAAGAACTGTGAGCTCCCAGGCACAAGGGCTGGAAGCCTCTCCATGGGGGCTACCACCGCTATTCTCACGTGTAGCAGGACTTGAGCATTTAGATGGCAAAATTGGGAAAACCCAACACAGCAACAGGAGGAAATCCTTTTGAGCGAAACAGACACACGGCTGCACCAGGAGGAATAGCTGAAGTTGCACCATTAAAATGACCACCTTGCAGCTTCTGCAGAGACATGGCTTTAGAATCCCTGCTGCTGCTCCCACCCGCCACAACATCGTCCAGACTCGGCTAACACTGCTCAGAGAAGCCGAGTGACCTGCCCATGTACGGCATTTCTAGTACAGGTGAAAGCTGCCAAGGAGACTGAAGACCTTGGGATGAACCAGGGAACCTGCCTGATGAGAACAGAGCGCTCTGCATCCCTTGTTTTCTTTTGGATCCCCCAACCTCAAATCTTTCAAAGATGGCCTTTTAATCACTATGCTGCTGTGCTTTTTCAGTCCCAACCTTATCCAGAGTTTGGAGATGTGATTTGTTTTTGGAACAATAATTTAAAAAAAGAAACCAACACCTTGCCTCTCAGAAGCACACCCTGGCTGGAGGATTCTAGGAGCTGTGACCTGGAAGGGGGGGACTTCTGCCAGGACTGCCCAGCTCCTCTGCAAACGCTACTCCTCGCTCTCACTCTGCACCTGCGAAAGGACGTACCTCAGAGCCCTCAGCATTGAAATGATCCAGTGCCTGCTTCCGGATCTCTCCTTTGATCGAGCCGTCCAAGCGCTGCAGAGAACAATGGCAACGGGGTCAAGGTCTGGATTGCACAAACAAGGGGGCGGCCCAGCTCTCCCTAGCTGTGCTCCGGCTGCCCCAGAACCACAAACCCTCACACAGCTTACTCCAGCTTAGAGCAAGGCAACACTTTTAAAAATAACAGGGATTTAAAAATAACCTCCCTGCCGCAGGAAAGGGTGGATGGGCAGCCCTAGCACGTACCAGGTGACTCCCCAGCTCCCGTTACAGGCTCTGAATTAGGAGCTGCCTGCAGATCAAGGCCCTTCCTGAAATGGAGCATAAGGCTCCAGTGTGTGCTTTTTGTACACAAAGGCCTAGAACTGGGAGTCAATATCTTTGTGCAGTAGAGCAGTGAGCCAGGTCTCATAGGGTGAAAACACCAGGTCAACAAGGACAATCATGTCACATGGCAAACTACTATCATCCTCTCCCCCTCCCTCCCCAAAGCTGGCTTCTGTTTGCCCTGAAGGATCCAGTAGGATTTCAGCTGCATTCCTGCCTGCCACTGGAGAATCACTGTTGTTTCTCTGGGACAATTATTGCTATTGTGATCCAACAAATTATTTGGGGAGATGTTCTTGAAGAAGAGCAGCCTCAGAAGATCCGTGAAAGGCCCACCTAATATTTAAAGATATAAAATACTCCCACTGGCTGGTTGATACAGACACAATTCGCCTGGGGCGGGTGGCCCCCGGGACAGTCACAACCTGTGCCTGCACTTCAAAAGTTACCACCACATCACTGATGCATGCACCAAGACTATGGCTTCCAGAGATGCTAAAGAAGCACTGCCAGAGGGTAAAGCACTACACCCCCAAATCCCAAGGAACACTCCTGTTTATTTACTCCTCCTACCCTTGCGGATTTCGACAACAACAACAAAGGCCCACTCATTTCAAGCCCAGGTCATCCTCTAGGAGGCCAAGATGTCTTTACATGTCAGCACAGTTTTCATACTGCCATAGAGATAGCTGTGGTCTGTTCTGCCGACGTCCTCACCTGAAAAGGGTAGTGCTTGATGGCCAAATACTCTGCGAGGATATCCAGCATCCTCACCATCTGGGAGAAGATGAGGACTCGGTTGCCCCTCTCACGCAACCTGCTCAGTAGTTTGTCCAGGAGGATGAGCTTCCCGCTGCTCCTGATTAAAGACTGAAAAGAACATGGGAGTCATTCCCATTCTCTCGTAGCAGAAGTCAAGATAGTGCAGGGGTTGAAAGTGCTGGCCTACAACCCCGGGGACCTGGGTTCAAATCCCTGTTTAGCCACACAGGTCACTGGGTGACCATAAGCCCATCCTGCCTTTTTTTTATAAAAAAATTCAAAACCAACACCAAACAGAAAATAAAAGATCAAAAACCCTGCCTAAAAAGCAGTCCAATGGTTAACTGAATTCTTGGTTTGTTAATCACTAAACAAGCAAACAACAGCAGCCAAAAAGGTGGGTATGGAAAATAGATCCATATTAGAATCAACAAGAACTGAGACAAAAGCCCTCCTGAGCCTGGCCAAGTTACTTTTCTAGGCTGAAAGTCCCAGGATGCCCTTGGAAACTATGTGCCAGTTTGTCACAGAAGGGAACATCTAGCTCATAACCCACATGTATTTTCCAGCCATTTTTAACAGTCTCTAGACAACCCTCTCTCCTGCTGGGGGAAAAATGTCTATTTCCGTTCAAAAAAGAAGACCTGTAACAATTAGATGTCTCCTCTAAAGTGAAGGAAAGGCTTATGCTTTAGTATGCATGGACCTTCTCTCTGCTATTTCCCCAAGACTTTCCAGTTACCCCAGTTTGGAAAGCAGAGAGTCGGGACGGCCTATTTCTGGTGGGTGCACAGTCCCCCAGTGGGCTCAGCATTAGCTTCCAGACTTCCTACTGCTATTTCCCCAAGACTTTCCAGTTACCCGTTTGGAAAGCAGAGAGTCGGGACGGCTTATTTCTGGTGGGCGCACAGTCCCCCAGTGGGCTCAACATTAGCTTCCAGACTTCCTATTGCCCATCTCTGGCCTACAGGAAGACTTTGTCACATAAGTTCACCACTTCAGCAATTTTTGTTGCAAACTCTTGAGACAGAAGACAATCCATTAATGGTGTATTCTCAGCATATGGGCAAATCTCCATCTAACCATCTAACCCCAAACCCCTCATAAGCGGCTCACCTGGAGCAGCTCCTGACTGTTCTCCCTCTCATTCTCCTCCGGGGTTTTTATCAGATAGCAGTGGTTGCAGCATTTCTTCAGTTCCATCACTATGTTCAGGAAGCCAGATGTGCTGCCCCGGGTGCCCTTGGAGAGAGCTTTGTAGTTCCTCGTTAAAATCCACCTGCAGGGCAAACAGAAAAAAAGGGTCAATTTAAACATGGCTTGATAAACTGGGCAGTGTTCAATGGACCATCATCATCATCACGGACTACAACTTTTTGAATCTCCCAGCCTGTAGCCATGCTGGCTAGGGATTTGGGGACGTGTAGCCCTACTCAAGGTTTGATCATCAGGGGATCAATCCTACAGGAAGCTCACAAGCCTTAACACAGGACCAACTAAGGATGTACGGTATATGATGGACAATTCTAGCTCTCTGATTCCCTGGTCGAAACAAAGAACTGTTCTAAACTGGCTACGTCAAGCAAGAGATGGAACAATGGGATTTTCCTGGGGTCGTGAAATACGTGCCCGTAGATATCATAATATAATCAACATTTCCAAAAGATGAACATTTCTTTTACCAGTCCATGAACCAAGTCCTCTTTCAACGCATGCTTTGGGAATTACTAAGCACCACTTGAGGGCACATACTTGTAATACTGCTTCTGGAGAGCCGACATTTCCACTCGAAGAATCTGCTCCACTTTGGCCGGGAGGGACTTCTCTACATCCTTCTTCACCCTACGGAGCAGGAAGGGCTCCAGGACTTTGTGGAGGCTTTGGTACCCGTTCTCTCGCCCTTTTCCATGGTCGTCCTCAAAATCTTCCCAGAATTCAAACCTGATAGCAAGAGGTGGGGAACAGAGGGATGAGGCAAATGAGTTAAACACCTTACAGAATTCCCAACTTCTCTTTCCTCCAAAGGTATCAGAATACAAAACAAGTTGACAGATCTCAAAAAGAGTTGTGTTCCCAATATTCTGTGGTGTATTCTTGTTTTACTGATGGCAGGGAAAAGGAAGGTTATAGGGTAGAGAATGAAAGCACTGACACATTATCTACACATGCAAACTTTTGTGCCAGCATAGCCTGATATTTTGCAAGGAATAACTAAACTGCTTAATCTAAGCATAGTTGCATGCATCTACTTGCGAGTCTATATATGCAGGTGATGCAATGTGCCTATTGGCAGAACTCCTGGCAAGAAATTATGACCAGTATGACATTGCTTATATTTTTATGGTGAACTGAAACTGATTCCAATTTGAAGAAGAAATTCAAAATGGCCACACTGTTTACTAGGGAGTCTTAATTAGCCACTAGGTAGAGGTGGCAACTTTGTTTCCCTTCCTGGAGTTTGTGAGATGACTGTTTTCAAACACTCTTCACACACCCATACTGCAGGAGTCAGTTTTGGATATTAAACATTCCCACAACCCCGTCCTGAGGGTTCCAAAGCCTCTGCAGGTCAAAGAGGAGCCTTAGGAAGCTTTGGAATTTGGAGTGGGGAATACGGAGTTTTCAATCAAATCGAACTAAATGTTTATGATCGCAGGTTGATGGTATTTGCACAATGTAACGTACGCCAAAAGGATTTCAGCTGATACGTTTGACGTACAAACTGTATTTGCACTAGGAAAATATCACGGTTTGGACATTTGACCTAACATTTTTCATATTTTCAAGCCTAACCTTGCTGCCCTAATTATAAACATTGTTTTATTCTTTTAAAAAGGGAGAGACAGGAAGGAGGGAGGGCACTTGTCGGCTTCATCCACACTGGCACATTTCAACTGTCCATAAATCTTTATGTTTCTATTTACCAGTCCAGCATTTGTTCTACACTCACGTCCTCCCTTCTGTATACATTAGGAGACTTACTTCTCTGGCATGATAAAATGCAGGAGGGACCAAAGCTCCTTGAGGGAATTCTGAAGGGGTGTCCCAGTGATGAGCAATCGGTGGTTGGACTTGAAGTCAATCAATGTCTTATACAGCAAGGAGTCATCGTTCTTCAAGCGGTGCGCTTCATCCACACCCAGGAAGGCCCAGCTAATGCTTCCCAGGACAGTCTGAAAGAGGGAGGACAAGGATATACCACTTACGAAAGCCAGACTATGAGGGGTTTTTAAACGTTCTCTGTTCTGAGAGAATTTTCTGCACCTACCACAGAATCTCAGTATGCTGCCACATGTGCCACAGAACCTCAGTACGTACAAAGGATTCTGGCAAATCTGCTAAGAGCCACACCCAGGTTACGACAGGGGTGTTTGATGTCATGTGCTACCTAAATCTGTTTGAGATACAGTTTTGCATTTTCAAAACTGAAATCAGACAACAAGCCACAAATCTTCCACATGCAAGTCACACACTCCTCCAGCGAGAAAAAAACTCCTTCCTTTATTGAAAAGCTCATTCTCCCACTGGGGAACCTCCGATAACCTTTGTAGGAACTCCCAGATTTACCTGAAACAGAGTCTGGAAAGAACTTCCAGACGGCCTCTACATTCTCCCGGACTTCTCCTTAAGTGTTTGCTTCATTTATTCAGGAAGGACAGTTTCTAAAGTGGAAATCCCAAAAATGGAACTCAAGATAGTTCACAGTAAGACTCAAGACTTGGGTGATGTTTCTTGGTGATTAAAGCTGCCAGAATCCGACATCCAGCAGGGTCATTTCCAGTTTGGGTATGTAGTCCAGAAATCAGTCCTTTCCCATCTCTGCTAAGACGGAACACCTAAAGGGCCACACTTTGCCCACCTGCTTCACAAAACATTTCAGGTATATCTCTAGCACACTCATCTTTATTTATTCAGGATCTCCAGAGATCCAACAGTGAACTTCCCATAGGAACACACCATTCCTAAGCGAAAGATGTAACACTGGGCAAAAGCCTTTTGCAAAGAGAATGAACAGTAAGCTGAGCAAGAGGTCCTCATCATCACTGCCAAGAGTTCACAAAGGGTATGTTTTAGATGTACAACTCACAACTCTGGAATCCCTTACTCATATGGATATGTTTTGGTTTAGCTAGGGTGATTTTAGGAGCTATAATAAAAAGAAAATGAAGGGACTGTCTCTAAGAGCATGAATCCATGGCAAAGACTTAAAAATCTTTGACATGGGTTTGGCTGCAGGCAGTTTTCTATCATCACTCCTGATGAAGTGCATTTCTGTGCCTTTAAAAAATTAACTTCCTCTGCCCCTCTGCTGAGAAGCAGAGGAAGTATTTAATCTCTCAATATCCTAAAGTGGTCCTCTTATTAAGCCACTTCACAATAATGGAAATTCATTACCAGATGGAGCCTCACTTTTGGTTCATCTCTAGTGATTGCATATGCTAGAAAAAACCAACAAAACAAAACAATCCTACCCACACCAAAAAAAACAAACCAAAAAAAAAACCCAGAAGCCCTTAATAAAGGCTCAGAAAGCTCCAGGTAGGACCACTCTGGGGACAGGCTGGTTCAAAAAGATCATCTGATCACCATCTTTAGGAGCGAACCAACTGTCCTTGCAGTGGACTAATTTGCAGGGGTAAATGCCCACACAGTCACCCCTCAGTTTTCATACTCAGAACTGTTGCATACAAAGACACCACACACCTTGTCTTTCAGGAGAATCTCGTATGTCGTGATAAGCACATTGAACTTCAGTCGTTTCGTCTGAGCATGGATCCACTCATATTCACGGATCTGAGAAAAAGCCAGAAACTTTGCATGTTAACTCGTCTATTATCAGTCTTCCTCACACTGGGGTTTTCCAGCTGTGCTGCACTGCAACTCCCACCATACAAGCCAGTATTGCCCAACCAATGCTGGTTTGTATGATCACGGAGCCATAGAAAGGCAATTGCAAAGTCATCAATGTCAGAATATTGAGAATTTTATAGGAACTCTGCAAATTACCAGCAAGAAGCTGACAATCAACAAGCAGATGTCCGAGCCAGCAGAGCCTAAAGGCAACACCTTGAGAACTCTTATTAACTTAGCAAGGTTTACATCGTATATTGTGAGAATTCAGATAGGATACTGGTTACCTAATCGCCACTAGGATTAGCCTGAGAAAGTCTCTGAATTTATGATCCAACTCTAAAGGAAAAAGGCAGAATGAGTAGGTTCCACCGCCTGCTGGCAACTGCTGCTTCTCTGCCAGGACAGTTTGCTCTCACTGAAACAGATAACAATTAATGGCCTTGGGCAGGAGCTTCCCACACTGAGGTTATGTGGCATTTTAAGGAGCAATTTACTTTTGCCATCCATCAGTGAGCTCCTGCGTATGTGCAGAGATTTGAACCCACATCTCCAGCACTCCACCTGTTACATTGCACTGGCTCGCCCAGACCATTTATTCTGTGGCTTTTTTTTCAGAGACTACAGAATGTAAAGCAAGCATTTGGGAATCTTAGCTTTTCTTCTTTCTTTTTCAAAGAAGAAAAAGAGTGTCTGGTCCTCAAGGGTGGTTCCATCTTTTGGGCCAGAGTTGGATGGAGTTAGACTGTTTGATTTACCAAGACTCCAAAAGTTATGGCAGCTTTATGAAAAGCAGGGTAGGGTGTCCTCCGTCACTGAAATTGTAGTGGAGAACTTCCCCCTCACTTCAGTCCATAAGCCTGCCAATGCCTTTACTTACACTAAGATGGAAGGATGTGGAAGTTAAAAAAAGTTAAGGGCAAGAAGAAATGGGTCAGAGAAAAACTGTTCCAGTGCTTCTTGAACCCTTCAAAGGAATGCAACAGACCCTGTTTTCTCAAGGGTGCTGTGCCACTGTTGAAAGAATTCCAATTAACAGCTTACTAATGGAATTGACAGTAGAACAGGTTTCTTCAAAAAGCAGCAGGCAAGTAAGTTTTTTAAAAGGTTACTGGATGACTATCGACCAGGGATGTTCAGCTGTGGATGTCCTGCACCAGCAAGAGGTTGAACTAGATAATTCTTCCAATTCTAAAATGCTACATAAAGCTTATTTAGTTCAGCAGCTTGGGGTGCCTGGTTGCAGAGGCAAGGGCTGGTAGTTTGAATCCCCACTGTGCCTCCTGGAAAGAGACCTGCTAAAATCCCCCATAGTCCATGTAGCTGACTGGGTTACATGCTCTGCCATCTGTGTGACTTTGGGCAAGCTACACAGTCTCAGAGCACCACCGGGAGGACCTTCATAACTAGAAAACCAAGCGAGAGTCACCAAAGGGCAGAATCGACTTGACAGTACATAAGGATTCTAGATGACTCTACATAACTCTTCTAACTCCACAATTCAAAGACTCCACGACAAGCCTAAATTGGGGAGAGGGCAATGTGATCTTCCAGCTGTTGGCCTAGAATTTCCATCAGACATAGCCAGCATATACAATTTCCTCATGGAAAACGCTGTCTAATAATATCTGGAAACATCTGTCTCCAGCACTCTACAGACCACCTTCCATGACCCAGCACCAGAGAGAGAGAAGATAAATTATATAAATCCAGCAGAAACAGAGTTGCATTGGGGGAAAATTCAAAACACCAGTCTGAATCACCATTAAAAAAAAGCTCCAGTGCATGAACACAGATCACTATATATAATAATAACAACCTTAGAACTGGAAGGAACCATATGGATCATCAAGACCAGCCCCTGACAAGAAGGCACCACTGGGGAATCAAACTCTCAACCTCTGGCTTTGTAGCCAGAGACCTAAAGCATTGAGTTATCCAGCAGTCCTTACAACTATGGCACATATAAATGGTACACACAACTACTTCTTTCAATTTGTTTCTTACTGTGCATGTTCCATCCTGCATATTCTTGCTCACTCCCATTGATGGTATACCCTCCCCTGGGAGCAGATTCAGCTTCCTCTTTTAAGTGGGCTCCTAAAACCTTCCTCTGTTTGCACGCCGTTGGCTAAAATAGGCTTCTAGCTTTTAAGCTGAACTCGGTAGTTTTATTTGACTGGCTTCTGAAATTTGTTTTGCATCCTTAAATTTCTACGGACTGTTTTAAATATCACTGCTTCTTGTATTCTTTCATTTGCCTTTGTTTTAACACTGTTCTGTTCTAACAAGGTTCAACTCTGTTGAGATGCAGCAAAAGGCATCATTTGGAAAGCAGCTTATAAATGCAGCTATTAAATAAACGAACACAATTTCCTCGGCGGGGGGAGAAGCCGTGTTAATATGTTGCAGCAAATGTAATGAAGAGCCTTCCAGCCGCTTTATTTGGTAGACACTTCTTCTGGATTGTGGCCTACTTCAATGGATGCAGTTTAACTACTGATTTCCTAGCAATATGAGAAGACGATTCATTCAAGGCAAAAACCTGAATGTTTCCAACCCTGCATCACACAGCCAAAGGCACAGTTGTAAAACCCACCCAAAGAGGCGGCCATTTTGCATGGTTCCGTTACCCAGCTTCCTTGGCTCTAGCTTACGCACAGCGTTTCTGCTCATCTGATCTCCTATGTACACGACGACGTTGATGTCCGGGCCCCAGATCTCAAACTCCCTCTGCCAAGAGGTCAGTGTCGACAAGGGCACCACAATCAGGAAGGGACCGTAGAGCTGGTGCTGATGGAAGAGGTAGGAAAGGAAAGAGATTGTCTGGATGGTCTTCCCCAAGCCCATCTCATCTGCCAGGATGACACTGTTGTTCCTGAAAAGGCAGAGGAGCAGGTGGCAGAAACATAAAAGCTAATCATCCATTCATTAATTCCCATTTCTCTCTATACCTTATTGTGAAGGCTTGGGGGCAAGGGATTACTGTAATTTATAAAAACATGCATGAAACTTGGAGAGAAAAGATTTTAAGCCATCTCAAATCAGGAGCCTGGAAAAGCTCCCTCTCTAAATATAGGGTCCAGAATCCTTCAGGCAGCATGCCCAGTGGCCATGCTGGCTTGAGGATGCTGGAAGTTAGGATTCAATTAAAGTGCCAAGGTCTGGGCAAGTAATACAAACTTGAAATGCAGAGATGCCCTTCTAGATATTTATGGGGAGAGAAAGGTCTAAAAACAGCTGTCAATCCCACCGAAGGCAGACCCAATGAACCAATGGAAGTATATAAACCTTGACTTCTCCAGTTTAGTATTATGGAAAGCTGGGATTTACAGTTTGGGGAGATACTTTGGATTCTGGGCTAGAGAGCACTTCCCTAAACTGCAGCAGAGAATTTTCATCAAACTACACATCCAAGGATTCTGGAGGGTGAAGCCAGGAAAGTGGAAGTGATAACAAACCCACTTTAACTGTACAGTGTAGATACACTCTTAGACAGCTTCACGGATAATCAGATCAATTCAATGAGAATAAGGCTAATAACATTTATCATTCATAATGGGTATCTTCTCCAGTAATGGAAAAAAAGGTGCATCATCAGATGCATGAGAACATGCTACGCTGGTGAATGTCCCAGGGTTGGCTGTTATGTGAACAACAGCTGGATGAGGCAGGCCTTTGGTTTAATCCAATTAGGCTCACTTTTTTTTTGGTTGTTATTTCACCCAGACAAGCCCCCTTCTTTCACCTACTTGCACCAGGAGTGAGCAAGCCAGTTAAGGCCTTCCAGCTGGTAATCTCGGAGCTCCAGATTCTCCCCGCCGATGTAAGACGGTTGTTTCTTCAAGGCAACAAACCGAGGCCTCTGCTTCAATGCCTAAAATGGCAAAGATCATAAAGATTTACTCAACTGACTACAGTTTCTCAGCCTCTAATATTTATGCCTTTCTTGAGCTTCAAAACACACAATGAACAAAATACATTTGTTGGACCCACATCCAACTCCACCCTGCAAATGGACACAGGCAGAGAAGTACAGCAATCTCTTCCCATCATAGTATTATTTATGGAGAATGATTTACTACTGAAACTATACATTCTGAACACGGGAGTAGACATTTCTACTTATATAAACATACAGCTGAAGAACACTCCAGTTTGAAGTCTGTTGGGTTTTTAACAGACGTGGGCTATTAGTATTTGTATCCCTGGTGCCATGGAGGCCCATTCCCTACCCGCAGATCTGGCTGGTCCACTCACCAATCGCTACGTGGTGCTGGGGGTCCTTTGCTGTCATCACGCCAATTCAGGAAGGAGCCAAACACGCCAGCGATGAGGCAGGGCAGGGCGGGGAAGTGCCTGCCAGGATTCTTCCCAGATTGACACCACCACGACAACAAAGGACCCCCAGCACTGCGTAGCGACCAAACACGCCAGCGATGAGGCAGGGCAGGGAAGTGCCTGCCAGGATTCTTCCCAGACTGACACCACCACGACAACAAGGGACCCCCAGCACTGCGTAGCGATTGGTGACCAGTGAGTGGACCACAGCCCATTTCCTACTCACTTTGGATTTTGAGCTAAGGAGTGTTTCCAGACACATTAACCGAAGAGATGGCAGAGCAACCCACTGGGCTATCTGAATTGAAGCTGCAGGAGGCGGCACAATTGTCCCCTAACCACGAAAGAAAACTATAAAGAAAAATAACCAGCATATAGCTGGGCAGACGGTTAACATGGACCTCTTCCACATTATTTGTTTAGATTACTTTGGCTTTCTTCCACATTATTTTTTTTTATACACAGAGAACATGTTTCATGGGAGAACATTCAATCGTTCAGTATCTTCCAGAAATACAATCTCATGCTCATGAACAGTTTCACCATCTGACCTATAATTTGGATGAACATGTTTAGAAAGGAGCATGGCTCATTATGAAATGCAAAATGTGAAATCAGTGATAAGGAGTGTATCCTTTTTTTTTTCATTATGAAATGCAAAATGTGAAATCAGTAACATGATAAGAAGTGTATCCTTTTTAAAAAAACACCAGATATTGGTTGCCATTGTTTTCACAGCACACTGACAAACCAGGAATATTTTTGTCCAAATATTATACTTAATCATACAAGTAGTTTCAGAAGAGGTAGCCATGTTAGTCTGTGCTAGAATATTGGGCAAAAACAAAATTAAAATAAAAAATATAGAATCCAAAAACACTGTGGCAATTCAAAAGACTGACTACTATATTTTAATGTGAGCTAAAGTCTTTTGTTTTTGCCCAATATCTTCATCACACAAGCCACAAAGAAGTTATTTTCTCAAGCAAACTACAAGATACACTAAAGAGAGCATTTAAGTTTTAAAGAATGCTATTTTATAACAAAGAAAAATATTTTTCCAGCTCAACACTGACCAACGTAAGTTTAAAAACACAGCCTTTCTAAATTTAGGGACCTATTAAACTTGAGGCAAGGGGTGAATGGGTGGGCAAACCTTGCACTCCCGGGTGGGCATGGTTTTGGAGTTGTTCCGGTTGTTAAAGCTATCAATGCAATGCTGGAATTTCTTGCTTATCAAGGCCTCGTCCTCCCAGCTACAATCTGCATACGAGAGTCCCATCCACTTGCAAAGGTACTCTGGTTCATTAGAAGAGGACTTGCGGTTGTGTGCTGCAAAGATTGGAGAGAGGGAACAATACAGTCATGAGCTTGTCAGAGACGTGATGCTCAAGGAAGAGCTTCCTCAGGAATCTAACACTGTAGCAAAGGCATGTTCCTTAAATAAAGTTCAAGGGAGCAATCTAAGAGAGAGACCACCGATTACTATACCTCCCAGATGCAATTTTGGGACTTGCCATGCAAAAACAGTGAACTTTACTAGTTTTTGGGAAAGACTTCTGCCAAAAGTCTAATTGTGATCGGGTTCGTTAGAAATTTGAAGCAGCTCCTCTCTTTTGGCGGGAAATGACGATTGAGCTTCTTTTGAAATATTAACAGATTCATTTGGTTTAACATTTGGGGATTCTACAACGACTTCTATGGGTTCAAAACAAGTGAGATCTGGCAACTGTCCAAAGTGTGAAGACAAAAACTCAGTCTGTAAATTGGCAAGGTCCATCGAGGGGAAAGCCTTCTGCCAAAAGTCTAATATTTAAGCACTGACATAGTTGCCACAGGCAGCCAGAAATGCCACATAAGTAAGCAGGATTGGCAGATGAAGGTCAGAGCACTCTGATGATTTCACTCAGTCACTTGCAAGAAATTCCTAATCATCTATGTTGACCAGACACTGCTCTAGGGCAATGGCAGCAAACATTTTGGGCTCACGTGCCCAAACTGGAAAAAAAAATACAGCAGGCAGTGTGTCACGGCGGCAGCAGAGCTGGAAGTGGCGGCAGAAGGGGGAATCCTGGGCACGAAGATGCCTCGAGATCCCACTCCAGATCCGCCAACAGCACCAGCTGCTCTAGATCCGCCTGCCGAAGCGCCAGAACCACGGCTGCAGCCGCCTTCTCAGGTATGGATGTGCAGGGGGGAATAGCGGTCCGGCGACTTATGGCTCGCGTGCCTGCAGAGAGGGCTCTGCGTGCCAGCTGTGGCACGCGTGCCATAGGTTCGCCATTGTTGCTCTAGGCCATTAAAACATTTATCTGGAAGTCTCCCTCACTCTCCAACTAATTTGAATTCAATGCAGGCTACTTAGATCCTTAGAAGAGCAGCAAAAATGCTGCTAGGCTAGCAACTTTTCATTTACTTGGGCTCCCAAGTATCACCCAAAACAGGATGTCCCATGAGCAGATCCATTTATACTCACGTCCTGCAAACATAAACACACACACACACACACACCAACATGCACAGAAGGACAGAAAGCCTTCTTCACCTACATCCGACTGCATCTATTGATAACAGTGGCAGAAACTCTCTGAGGCTTCAGGAAGGGCATTTTTCCTAGATCCTTCCTGGGCTCCCACCCAACTGCTAATCAGGCCTGAACCTGCTTGGCTTTCAAAATCAGATGAGACACGAGTGTGTTCCAGATAATACAGAAAAGAATCCAATTTGCTTCACAAACCACAAATCTTATGACAACCTGCAATGAGCTGAAAAACAGCAGCTTCCATAAACCTAACTGACCAGAACAGGGGTGGAGAACTTCAGAGGTCTGGAGGTCCATTCCACCAGAAACCCCATTATTGCTACACACAACGGCAGCCCTTCCCCAGAAAACCAGAAGCACCAGAACGGTGACTTCCACTTTTTAAAAAACTTTAATACTGATGTCCAAGTTCAAGAGAAAACAAATGCTTCCCACACATATCCAGGATGTCCTAGAGATGTGGTCATCTTCGTTTTTGTCAAAAATTGGGAGAAGAGGTGGGTCCAGGGGTAGAAATAGCAGAGAAACCATGCAGCCCATAGGCTCAGCGATTCCCTCATCTGATAGAGGTCAACACTTGGATTGGCAGTATCTGCCGTCGCTCCTCTTTAACACCACACTAAATCTCTTCTTATATACTAATGGTATTATTTTAGCCAGTCGTTTATTCTGCCTTACCTGGAAAGTCAGACACAGGTGTCGCAGATTTGTTTGTTTTCGTAGCTATACATCAATACCAAAAGAGCAAAAAAATACAGTGTTTTAATGCTTTGGCAGCCATAAAGAAAATAGTATGCATATTCTATACTGTATATTGTACTATTCAGTTTAAGGAAGGAAGAGCCACAACAGCGAGGGCTACCCTGGTTTTCATCTGAGTTGGCCATTTTTCCAAGACACCACTGCTATATAAAAATAAAGTAAAAGGAGCCACCACCATTCCTATGGCATTGCTAGGAATTCAGTCACCATATCATAAAGCTAAGAATCTAACAGATCTAAAGTACAGTATTAACCAATCCTATTGTTAGCTGTTACAGTCACCCCATCATCATGAAACACAGAATGAAATGCACATATCTGAAAAATAAATATCAGTAAGATCAACAAATTACAAAATGACATTTAGTAACCATGTCTTTGAAGTTTAGTCTGTTTGTATAAATAAATATCTTCCTGGTTTTATCAACAACCTGTGAAGATTTGGTACTATTCTCCTTGACTATATTTTACCTGACAAAACAACTGCTTTGCATAGGTTCCCAGCATCTGACAACCTAATGCAACCTAATACCAACAGGAGAGCCACACAATGCCCATCAGTTCTATGACATAGCGCACATTCTAGGCTGAGCCAGCTCCACACCTCTCTTCAAATGGGACAAAGCAGGCTGGATTGCAGCAAAAAACCTGTGTGAAGAATGCTAACTGCCTTGGGTGGTAGCTAGCCAACCTGACATGCCCTTATTCCATTTCATACAGTCACACCCCATTAGCCCCTAAAGCAGTTAGTCAGCCTTCTGTTCAAGTATCCTCCATCATCCACAGCTATTTTGATGGATTTACCCCTTCCTTTAAAAAAAAAAGTATCCCTATCTCCACTTCTTCAAACCTTAGGGTTTCCCCACCCCCTTCGATGCTTCCCTTTTTTATCTGATAGTTCTACTTGAATTAATTAACAAATAATTGTACAGTGGCGCCTCGCTTAACGACGATAATCCGTTCCAGGAAAATGGCTGTTTAGCAAAAACATCGTAAAGCGAAAATAAAAATCCATTGAAACACACTGAAAACCATTCAATGTGTTCCAATGGGCTAAAAACTCACCGTCCAGTGAAGATCCTCCATACAGCGGCCATTTTCAGTGCCTGTATAGCGAGGAATCCGTCCCTAAGCACAGCGGGGAGCCATTTTAAGCACCCAGCGGCCATTCTGAAAACCCGACGATCAGCTGTTTTTGATAGTCGTAAAGCGAAAATCGGTTCCAGAAGCAGGGAACCAATCATCGCTAAGCAAAATTCTCCCATTTAGACCATCGTTCTGCGATTGCAATTGTGATCGCAAAAACATCATCATAAAGTGGATTTGTCATAATGTGGGGTAATCGTTAAGCGGGGCACGACTGTAAATTTAACTGCACTGTAAATTTGCTAAACAACAGGTACAACTCACCATCAGATAAAAACCTCTCTATTTTTATTTTTCCATGCCCTCATTCGTTTCTTTACTTACAACATTTATGTTACCATTTCACAATGTTTTTTCAGTAGTTTACAAAATTTCTTAAGTATCAGAACCAAAAAGTAGGACAACCAAGAAAATCATGTCATAAACATGCATAAAAGCAGCTCCACCAATTAGTTTTTGTCTTGTTCCTATAAATTGCCCCTACTAAATAATCAATTAGTTTAATCTACTACACATTGTAGATGTATAAAAACAACTTTCAGCTGGCCTTCAGTTTCCATCTACTGGAGTGAATAAAGCCGACAGTCAGACATGATGGGAATTATAATTCAACAACATCTGGAAGACCATAGGCCCTTATTTACAGCTAGCAGCTCAAATACCTATGTCACTTAAAGGTTAAAAACCAAAAGGCCACTGCACTCACCAATAACTCTTTCCACTATTTGGTACTGCTTGTTCAATTCAGCAGCCAGTTCTTGCTGGCAGTTAAAGTATTCCACATCTTCTGGGCTCACCTTTGACAACCTGTGCAGGAAAGAGGCAAGCAAGACCGTGTGTGAAAGGGATGCCAACAGGAACTAGGAAACTTTAGTATCATTCTACCCTTTAGAAAAGGAAGAACTGAAAGCTACCTGGGTGGGAAAAGGCCATGGCTCTGCAGCTATGGCATGCCTCCTTTCCTTCCTGAATTCCATGGCTAGTATCCCACTGAGCTCCCACTTAGCAAAGTTGGATTGCCCTGCTTGCACAATGTAGAATTGTGCCACTTGCTGCTCTTCATGCAGTGATCTCTATAAAGAAAACCCACGCTTTCCTTATGCAACACCAAGGCTTCTGTAAGTGGCTTAATCCTCATTACTATGCTGGCTGGACTTTCTTCTTAGCAGATGCTTAACAAGACGCTAGCCCATACATTTGTTTATGTCTTCCATTTTATTTCCATTCCACTTTTTAACCACAGAAGGGATCCAGAGTAGATCATGTTTAGGAACCAAAACAGCCTAACATCACTCCATACTCTACAAGCCATGCAAGCTAGCTAAACAAAATGTATTTTATTCCCGTATGAAATAAAGAACCCTCTTAATCTATGGAAGCAGGGAGATGTTAAAACCTTCAGAACAAAACTCATAGCCACCAAGAGATAGACAGGCTGATAACAGCTCACCTACACTGCAGCAGAGTAGCATAAGACTCCATCCTGCATGGTGGCTTCTGCCCACACATTCTGCCAAGTATTATAACAGGGCAGAAGAAGCGTGGGGAGGGGGACTTACCACTGCTTGATTTCTTCCTCTTTCTTCTTGAAGTTCTCCAGCTTCTTCATGCCTTTGACTTTCTGCTGCTGGAGGGAGTCCTCGCTCTCCCAGGTGCTGTGGATGTATGACCAGCCTTTCCACTTAATCAGATACTGAGCCTCCCCTTCCTCATTCTCGGGATCAAAGCCAGCACAAGGGTCACCACTGGCTTCTGTGGCATAGACAGTAGTGGAAGCACCCGTGGCTGCCAAGAGAGAGGAGGTGGACATCAGTAAGATTCCTCCAGGGTACCCCATTTTACACACTCCATTACATTTCCACTCCCTGCTTTTCTGAGGTTTTTCAGCCCCAAATAATGCTGTATTCTGGGCACCCTAAGTATGTCTTGTCCTCACTCAGCTGTTCTGTAGGTTTTACTCTTCCACACCATAATTTCTCTCCCGTATATGTTTATTTCTTCAAGCCCTAGGATTCTTGCATACAAGTTGACAGCTTTCCCCAACACAGAAATGGTTCTGTTTTGGCTACACAACTATCCTCCCTCACTGAATTCATCAGTTATTTGTTCAATGGGTGGTCAACCATGTCTTGAAGCCAAGGGCTCCCTTCCTAGTTATGTCACATGGGAAGAGGGGAACGGTGCAAATGTGCACACAAATGCAGCCTACCATAGTAAAAGTTCCTTACTCCCATATAAACAAAAGGGCCTCCTGCATTTCTCACACTACTGCTCCAGTAGAATCTCTTTTGTATGCAGGTGAACATAAAACAGTGCTCTTGCAAGGACCTCTTTTATTTCAGTTCATGTTTAAACTGACAGCTTCCTAATGCCCTGGGTCCTTCTGAGTGTGAGATTCTCTGCCTCCTATAATAAAATATCTTGAGCCTGAACACATATTCACATACTGCTTAAAATTCTTGACATGCATATCATAAATTAGGTAGAAAGTAGTGTCTGTTTCTAAGTCACATCAAATTGCTGGTCATTACCTAAAAAGGACAACATTAGGGTTAAAGCTACCAGGGAAGGGAGGCAAATCTCTGAACTGTACTGTACACACTGCCATGTCAGAGAAGGCAACTGTTTGCTCACCTCCTTTTCTGCCCACCCTCATGTCCAGCACCTTCTCAATCGTCTCACTGTTATCCTGCTGCTCTTCAGCTCCTTCTCCAGTCATCTCAATCAGGTCGTCGGAATCTGTCTCAAAGTCATCATCTTCCTTATAACTATATGGCAGGATCAAGAACAGACAGCAAGAGACCTCTTTTTCAATCTAAGCTGCATTCATACAAACTAGAAAAAGAGAACAGAATCTCTCACAGTCTAAAGGCTGAACTCAAATACTGTATAAAACCAGATCAAGCGACATTAGCCTATAAGAACAAAGCTGAACACCAGCAAACAGGCAATTCCTTTTTTTTAGCACTGACTGTAGTTTCACAGGAGCTTGGTGAGTTGGAGAGCCTGGCTGCTGAAGCAAGGAGCTGGCAGTTCAAATCTTCAATGTGCCTCCCAAGAGAAGCCAGCTCAAATCATCTGGGTTGGGTGTGACTAGTGCGATCAGGTGCCTTATTTCAAGCAAGCCTCCCAGTCACAGGCTGCCACCAGAAGGCAGAACTGGTAAACCTCTACTGAGTATTTTCTATCTAAAACACCAGGGGAGACTTGCCATAACTTGGGCTTGGTGGCACATGACAGTTATTGTAACTCCACAGAACTGTACAAACTTTCAAACTCTTCAAAACTCATCAGAGTAGACATTTTAAAAAGAGAACATGGAGGGGAGAAACATGGAACTCCAAACATCTGCTAGACGTTTTAGCTGTGACGTTCATAGTTAAACTCAGACCCAAGCTTGCATTCCCCTTCTTGGGACACTCCTCATACTTGCTTAGAATTTAAAAACTGCCGAGTTACTTTTAAACGTACTGTACGTAGTTAGAGAATCAACCTCTCCATAGAGTTGGCTACCAATGTGTTTTTAATTCTTAAGCAACTTTTTAAATTTCTGTAATTAAAAAACAACTAAATATGTTAATGGCTTTATTTTAAAACAACAGTATTCTACAAGCCACTGACTTGTGACACAAGACACACTGTGAGGGAGTCACCATGAGCATCCTTAGCAGGCCATATGGCTCCACGTCATAAGCCCAGGAAACTTTGACAGAGAAAGACAGAGTGTGTGTGTGTCTTCCAGGCCCCCAGTTGGCAGGCATACACCATTGCAGGTGGAGGAAGGGTCACCACCCAATGCCGGCCAGCTGGATGAAGGTGCAAAAGTGAGAGTAAGAGTGCAGACATTGCAGAGCTCAGGGCTGTTGTCATCAACTACATCAGATGAAGGAGAGATGCGGAAAGGGGCAGCCAGGCACTGTGACTCCATCTTCCTCACCTCCACAGAAGAGCAAACAAGGATACACAACAAAGAGGCCCAGCTCCACCCTTCTGGCCAAGGAAGGGTTCAGGGACGTGAGACTCTGGCAATGCAACCCACAGCTGACCCAGCATCACCTTAGCCTTTTCATCTTGGCATCCTTGCTGCTTGATGGAAGCTGCAGCGCCTACCCCAACCCAGCTTTGGCGCAGAGACACAAGCGGCAACAGGCGCACCAAAGGAGGCTCCAGGAGGGGCAACACCATGGGACCTGGTTCACATCACTCGTCTTCACCAGCCCTTCCTAAAAGGACTGTGCCCCAGATTGGGACTCATACTTCCCACCCGCTTTTCTGGATCTGTACTTTCAGAGACTCCAGTGAAATCAACTGTGGCCCCAGCCGGACTGACTGAGCCCAGGGTGTTAGTGCTGGAAACTCAACCACTTGGAAAAGCAACAGAAGAGGCAGTAGGAGCTGATTCTAATTAAAGTTACCCTGCATGATCAAACCAGCTGCAACCCATGGATTTTCTGCTGTTGGATTCACATAGCAAAGTGACTACAGAAATACCCTCTTTAATTATAAAACCAGCAAAAAGAATTACTTTTGCACCACAAAATAAGTTATTCCCCTTTAAGTTACAACTACAGTGGAATTTATTTATGCTTCAGTTGCTGATTCTAATTAAAGTTACCCTGCATGATCAAACCAGCTGCAACCCATGGATTTTCTGCTGTTGGATTCACATAGCAAAGTGACTACAGAAATACCCTCTTTAATTATAAAACCAGCAAAAAGAATTACTTTTGCACCACAAAATAAGTTATTCCCCTTTAAGTTACAACCACAGTGGAATTTATTTATGTTTCAGTTATTGCAAACAACAACAACAACAACAACAACAACAACTTGTATTAAACTAACTTGTTACATGTACTAGGTTACTTCCAAATAGCCCTCCCCCTTTCAGGAGGGATGAAACCCATCATTACCTGACATTTTTGGCTGCTCGGCGCCGGGTCTGTCTTTTTGGTGCTTCATCATCTTCATCATCATCATCTTCTTCAGATGACTCCGTTTTTCTTCGCCTCTTCCCCCGCTGGGGCTTATGACTCTTCTTTGCAATGGTTTTACCCGCTGCTCTAAAATCAGCATTAAATAGACAGTCTAAAATCGATTTTGGAATCAGAAGGGCAGAAAAATCCATTAAAAAGTAGTTTTTTAAAAAAATATTTTCTTTTCCCCCCCAAAAAAGCAGTGGACTCACAATTCCAGCAGGCACAGACCCATTAAATCAAAGTGTGCTCCTGATCCTTTCCTTTAGCAAATCCAAACAGAAGCAGAAACAGAAACCCCATGTGTTTTTAAAAGTAGAAGCCGTTTTTTCAAAAACTCAAGTGGTCACTTCAGGTTTCACCCTGATCCTTTCCTTTAGCAAATCCAAACAGAAGCAGAAACAGAAACCCCATGTGTTTTTAAAAGTAGAAGCCGTTTTTTCATTTCAGGTTTCACCTGGAAGGGCTTGTACAAGCCCCAGAAGGGTCCTGCGGCCAGTAAAAAGGCCACTGGACCTGATTAACTTGCCCACTCCCTGTTCTATCACCAGAGAGTGTGTGGAGCTATGGGGAGGCCCTATGGGGAGCAACTGAACAAACAAGACTGGTCCCTGAGGTTCCTGCTAAACTGGGCGCATGCACGCGCATGACTCCACTTCCCTCCACACAGCTGCCTTCCTCCTCTGTGCAGCGATCACATTAGGTTCCAGTCATGACAGAACCCAGCATTTTGGGGGTGGGTGGAGACGCATGTGCATGCAGGGGCGAAGCTGCGCGCACGAGTGAGAGGCTGAGAATTAAGAGGGTAGGTTGCTTGTCCCTATGACATTTAACTAAGGCTGTGAGATGTAAGGTTACATCTAAAACAGGGAAGGGCACAGTGAGGCCAGTGGGCCATATGTTGCCCCCCAAGGCCAAGCTGCATTCTTCAGGCACCTAAAAGACACCACCCATTCTACGATGAAAAATAACTCATTGTACAACTTTTCTTCTGTACCTGGAAACCTCAAGGTGTTGCAGTTTTTGTTTAGCATAGCGGAAGGGAGATCCCACAACCTTTCCTCCCAAGTAAAATACCAGAAGTGGTTCTCCAGGAACCTCTTGGTTTTTTCTTTCAGTTTTCTGAGCCTGCTACGATCCTTGACAAGTGCTGGCGGTGAGGATACAGCCTTTAAGTTTGCTGAAGGCGCTCACCCTTCTTCTGAAGCAAACTGCCAAGTATGAACTGAGTTGCATCTCAAAACTTATTATATTTCAAACTGCGAAGAGATTATTCCCAAGGAACTGCAAGGAAGATGTGAATTGTCTGACCCTTCCTTTGTATTTCTGAACAGCGGCCAGAGAGAGAGAGAAGGAGAGGGAGAGAGAAAGTTAGCAGGCAAAGCTTCTACCAATGGTCTGGAAGAAAGGTTCCACCTGCTAAAGATTTGTTCCATGTGTCATTGCTGAAAAGCACAGGAGCAGGGCCCCAAGGTGGGGAGGGGGAAGGTGCCCACCCCAAGACAGACAGCACCTCCAATCCCACCTCACCTTCTCAGGACAGGTCTCCTCGCTTTCACTTTCTTCTGCTCCGGCTCACTGCTGTCTGCACTGGTGCCTTGTTCCTGTCCATCTTCATCTTCATCCCCCGAGCCCTCCCTCTTCCATTTATCTCTAGATTTATAAGCAGAATGTCAAAAGGATGTATTGTTATTATTACTAACATTTTTGCTGGTATCTCCACTGCACATCTGGAAAACTTTTCTAAAGAGCTGTTCCAAGAAACCCCAGAAAGCAAGGCCACTGGTAGTCCAAAAAGCATTTTTTTCTCTTAGGTAGAGTAGCATAGGGAAGTGAAAGGAGACCAGGTTCCAAAGGGCTCTTTCTGTTTACACGGTTGTGTGGAAGAGAGAATTTCAGCACATATGCCTTGCCAGAAAGGAGACAAGCTGCATCAGTCAGAATTCCCTCTTTCATGTACAGGATTGTACCCCTATGCCCCTTTGCATTTGGCCATTCTAGAGAAAAGAACAGGGATGTACAAGGTGAAAATGTTAGGTCCCACGGCACAGGATGTTATCCTGGCAACATGTTGGACTATATTGTCAGCCATCAAACTGACTAGAGGATTAGGAGTGTTGTGGTGTAACACATATGTTGGGTCACTAAGACTGGTCTAGAGCAGTGGCTGTCAACCAGTGATACATATACCAACACTGGGATGCAAAAGTTGTCTATAGAAATGTTTGCAGATACCAGGAATCTCCAGGTAAGGCTCAGAAGGAATCCTGCCTGAAACCCTGGAGAGCTTCTGCTAGTTATATACAGTAATACTGGGCTAAGAAGGACCCACAATTGGATTCTGAAAAGGCAGCTTCCTTTGTTTCCATGTAAAGTACACAAGGTTCAGATAGCTGCCCAGGGACATTTCAAAGGCTGCTCTCAGCAGGTGCTGAACCCATCTCAGAAGCTGCCATGAAAGCCATAAAGACAGCTGTGTGCAATGCAGAAGTGGTGGGAACATTTCAAGGATTAACTGAAGACAGGCATCCTTCTAAAAAGGAACCCAAGTTTTCTTCAGAATCAAGATGCAATCCTCAAAACTTACTGATTTTTCAGCTGTTTTTGGCTTCTTCTTTTGGGGCTCTCACTCTCAGACTCGGTATTCCCCTTAAATGAAAGGAGAGAGGAAGGCAATAATAAAACAAGGCTGGCTGGACATGACAGACCTGCCCCCTTGATGTTCCTGCTCATCAGAACATGTCAGATTCACGATCCTTTACATTCCGTCTCCAGAAGCAATTTTACCTAGTACAATCAATAAGATGAACTTATCGTCAGGCAGAAATTTCCTTGCGGGGTCCCACTCTTGAATGCCCACAACCTTGAAAGTTTATAAAAGGATGCAAGTTGTACCAAAAGTCCATCAATGAGCAAAGAGAATGCCCAACAAGAAGGGGGGGGGGAATGCAAAGAAGCAACATTTTAAATGAGTTATCCTCCAAGAGGCCCAGGGGAAAAAGATTCCCTCCCCCCAAAAAAATGCTGCTACTGATGTGGCAGTCGGAAAGGCAACCGGGCAGGAAATAATGTGGGGTTAACAAAGAAAAAAGAAAAGGCGGATTGGCTTAGATCTTTAACAAAGCAAGGAATTACATGGCCCAAAAGCCACATGCAGTCCTGGGATAGTTCCTGTATCCCAAGGACAACTGTCAGAATCTACCACCCAAATAAATATAGAGACGGATTTTTAAAGGATAATCTCTCTTTCTGGCGTCATCGGGAGCAACAACAGTCCCCTTCAGCAAAGTGCATGCCCTTGCTTCAGGATCTGAGGAACAAAACATTTCCGGCTCCGCCCCCCCCCTTCCAGTTTCAGGAAGAAAATGGTTTTAAAATGCATTTTGAAAAGGGGTGCAGGCCAAAGGGCCAAAAATATCCAGAGATTCTCAGAGCTTTCTAGAAAGTTCCAAGTATTGCTCACCATAAATGGAAAAACCAATGTGTAAAAATGCACAAAAACTACAAGCGAGAAAGTTGTGCATTGCATCCAGAGTGATTTTTGAAAGTTTTTTTTCCAATTGCAGGCCTAATACTGCAATTTCTCAGTGTGATTCATAAAGGATATATTAGACAGTGCTGGACAGGGGCTTGGGAGCCCATGTTCAAATCCCCACTCAACCATAAACACTCCCTGGGAAGGTCAGGCTTGGGCGCATCATTTTCTGACAGCCTGATCTTCAAAACACAGCATTGCGGTGAGGAGAAGTGTGCACAAATCATTGGAGGAAAGGCAAGATACAGTTGTTGCTAACAAATAAAACAACAAGCAATCCAAGCTGTCTCAAACGTAGCAAGGTTTTCTTCAACAAACTGTGGACTCAGGGTACAAAGAATTTGGAGACAGATGAAAATCGAAGTCCGATAACTTCAGAGCCACAAGAGCTGGCTCTCCCTAAGAGTCACAGCGAGAACTGAATTCTCAGCCTCTGGCTCTTTGAGCTAGCCAACAAGCCAGCAAAGATCACTTGCAGATTCTTACATCAGATGACTTATAATGCACAGAGAAAATAAAAATCTATTCCGATCTCAGCAGGCAAGCGTCTGCTTACTGATTTCTTCAGTGGACATTACACTTTGGGGGCAGGGTGGGAGGTCCTAGTCATAAAAAGACAGAAGTTATTCCCCCATGTGTTACTCCCTGGCAGTTTTGACAATGCCCTGTGGGCCACCTCCACAAAATGTGTGCCAAATAAAGCTTGTTAGGTCATCCAGATGCCAAGTGAAGTGACCCCTTGAGAACTGTGCAAGGTGCCCAAGGGCATCAACGTGTGGTGCAAGAAAAATAATTTATTTACATTCTTAATTTATTAGTACTGTTTCTTTCCTACCTTTCCTCCAAGGAGACTGACTGGCATATCTGGCTCTTTCCTTTTTTGACAATACTACAGAGGTGAGTCAGGAAAAGAAAGTAAACAACTGCCCCTAACGTTACCCAGCAAGCCTGACAGCTTGGTGGAGGATCAGAATCCAGCTCTCCTGAACCCCCGTCCAGTATTCCAGCCACTGCATCTCGCTCAGCTCGAGGCCAGTGAGCACATTATTATCATCAGCCCTTTGTCTGCACGAGAATTGGGGGGGGCACCCTATCCCTTCAAGCCTCAATGAGGCAGAAAGAGAAAAATAAAAAGAGCCATGGGTGTTCAAAGAGGTGGTGGGACGAATTTCTCTCTCCAGCTTCGTCAAATTCTCTTGGGCACCTTTGTTGTATTCCACTGTTTTTGTTAAAGAATTTGTTTATTTTTATGCACCGCGCACAGCAACCTTGCAAAAGTCCTCCAAAAATCTTCCCTCTCCCAATCATAAAAATAGTCCTTTACTCCCCACCAGTAGCTTCACCCGCCCAAACATGCAACAACACAACACGCACAGGTTTATTGTCTTCTACAGTTCCCTCACCCACGCCACCCGCCCAGTTCCCCATAACCAAGGCTGTCCTGTCTACCAACTACTGCTTGCCGTAAAGCCGCCGCACTGTGCTGGTGAATGTGTCACATCCTCCGCCGGATTCTGCTGCAGATAAGAGGTTTGTTATGCACGCTGGACTCTGGCCTAGCTTGGCTGAGATTTCTGGCCCTCTGAAGCTTCTGTAGCCGGCCAGAAGCTCCTTATGTTATGCAGCGCCACCCCATAAAAGAGGCAGTCACACAAGTGTCCGCATCACCAGCTACTAAAAAGCACAGGGTCACATTTACTATCGATGGGGCAGGAGAGGAGAGGGGAGAAGACAGTGGCATTGCAGTGGGTACCTGACCAACTCTCCAAGACAAGGAAGCCTAAAAACTGGGTCTCAACTACAAAATTTATTTCAGGTCTTTCTTATCCACAGGTCCACCTCAGCATAATTAAGCAGTCCTTATGGACACTTAACTGAGTTCAGCATTAAACTATTCATTTTAGATGAGAAGGCTCAGTTTTTAGACATTGGCCTACATGCAGTTTGATCTCTGGCAAGACGCAGGGTCTACTTGGGACTACGCCACCATTATTACCGAAACTACCTCCTACAGTACCTATATATATTATTTATATATATTATTTTTTAGCAATTTCCTTTTGCAACCTTAAAGGAATATGTTGTACTGTGAGCCAGACCAGAATTTAGAGTAAAGATGTTGTACAACAACCTGGGAAGGAAGTAAAACAGCTAGAAGAATTTTGACTGGAAAATGGTAAAAGGCCCCCCACTCCAAATCAGACGTATTGGAACGAAGGGAGCTTTTGAAATAAAGCTGCAGGCTATTCTGCTTTGACTAAGAAATAATTTATGGCCAAAATCCCATCGTGCACTTCTACTGGATCTCGTTGCTACTGCCAAAATTAGAGATCCACTCTCTCCCCTACATCTTCATCAGTATACCCTACAAACCTTTTCCAGAGAACCAAAACACCTTCTGGTACCCCAGAGGGCTCAGCAGGAGCAGGAAGGAAAGACAGTCCTGATTTTACTGCCATAGGATACTAGAAATGCACCACTGGATCTTGGCCTCAAATATAAGGTGACGTTTTATCCAAGCAAATTCCTTCACTAACAAATGGAATCATGCCTTTTCTGTAAAATAAAGAAATGAATAAAAATAGAGAGCTCACAGAAGCAGCCTAAGGAAACCTCTCTAAAACAGCAACAGCCAGTATTCACATGCGGGAATTCATTAACTAATTTAAACCCCACTGCTAGAGTTAAGCTGGTGTAATTTAATGTGATGACAATGCCTTTGTTTCCCTTTGGGTGGGCTCAGTTTGCTATTTTCCCCTTTCGGAAGGGAAACAGGTATTCTTTTTTGGTTTTTACAATATTGTGTGGTATAGCAAAATTTACTGTTAAATAGTTTCAAAAGCAAAAAAACACACACTAAGAAATCTCATACCTCATCGCTTAACTGATAAGAGATATTGGGGAAGAAAACAGGCCCAACGCTAGCGAAACCACATAATATTGTAAAACAAAAAAGGTCAGCACTTACCTGAGCCCCTAGAGGGCATTCTTGTCTGCAGCGGAGATCTGGGGTGGGTGTGACATCACCAGCACAGTGCATGCTGGGCCATCGTTACAGAGAGAGGTGAGCCAGAGAGCCTGGTATTTGCAGAACTTGGAAAAAGGAAAACAAAAGCTGACATCAATAACATGCTAAGACTCCTAAGATCTGGTCCTTCAGATCAATCTGGGGGCAGGAGAAATCAGAGGACTCTGCGCCCTTGGTAAACTCCACAACCAGTTCAGGGGCATAAACAAACTGAAAGCAACTTCTTGTTGGCTTTTCCCCATGTCCTGTCTTATCAGAGCTCCTAGAATGCCTTGGGAGATCATCACAATAATAATCTGTGTGGATTCTGCAAAGCAACATTACTCTAGAGAATCAGAGCATCCCCACTCCAATGCACAAGGGTTAAATGAAGTCAACGCCTCCAGCAGGAAGGTGCCCCAAAGATCCTCCACTGGCCTATATGGACAGGGAAACAGCAGTTTATGTGCACATGCGTGTATCCTGCAGAGCTCAGCTGATAAAAAAAATTGTTGGCATATGGCTACTCATTCCAAAATTTTTATTATAATAGCTAAATCATCGTAAGCGCTTTGGCTGTCACAAAGTATACGGATGTAGCCAAAACAACAATAACACAACAAAGAGACTGACAAGCTCTGGCTGTTTCTGTTCTAGCATTTGTCAGATTGCACAACACAACGAAACAAATTTCACTGTAAGAGGGGAGACCATCAATCCCTCAGAGGGCCAAGCGTCAAAATATTCCAGTCTGAGGCAAAATGTTCAAGCGGGGGGTGCCTGATGCTAGGCACCTAAATCCATATATAGGCACCCAAGCATAAATGGACCCATTTTTAGAGGACTCCCCCCAAAGGGAGGTGCGGGTGCCGCTTATATTTTTAGGTGCTTGAATATAAATTTAGGTGCCTACCTTTGGACTTCCAACTTTGACATTTTCAGTCTGAGTCTTAATTTTCCTGAGTCTCATTTTCTCCATCTGTAAAAAACAGAGGGGAAACCACTGCTTACCCTCCTTTGAAATGGGCAGGTTTGTGTGAGGGGAAGTGGGGGGGAAGGAATATGAACCAAAAACTGAAAATGAAACAGCAACCACTTACAAAAAAAAGAGAGCAAAGAAAAAGTGGCATGTTTCATTACCATCTCGTTCTTAAAATGATATGACAGAGGGAGGGAGGACGAATGTCTCAACTAATAAATAAAATTTTAAAAGAACCAGACACCAAAACAGAGGTCATCTCATGCACTGAGTTCAAGAGGCCACTAGCAATCTCTATACAAGAAGCAGTGGAGGGATGGTTTGATGAAATGTAACACTACACCAATACACACACAGACACACACGTTTGACATGCACAGGAATGCATTTCCATGCTGTCTTGATGTTCCAAGCAAGGCCGTTCTTGCAATCAGCTTCTCCATTTTATTGCAACTGTTCCTGACTTGAATTCAGTTTGTGCAACGGTGCCTTTTTGACCAACAGAACCCCAAATGACTCTACAGGGAGACCCTCGCTTGGGTCAGATTGCAGGAACGGGGCCTCACCAACTGCAAAATATAACTGCCACAGCGCCACCACCGACAATTGCAGACCTAAAAGGAAACACGAATCTGAATGGCTTGGCTACTTTCATTCTTTCTAATGATTTCTTCTACTCCCTCTTCATCTTTCCCCACCCCTACTCCCTTACCTCTTCATTTATATTAAAACGTGAAGGCTCCTGCCTGCTCCGGTTTGACCTCCGCACCCCATAAACATCTGGATATTCTTCCCACATCTGCAAAATAAACCAAATTAGCATTTTATTCTCATTCTTTGCCCAAAGATTCAGAAAAGTTATACATTTCCCCTTATTCTCCTTACAAGAACCCTGTGAATCCCATTCACTCTCATCACCTTCATCTATTGAAATTAATGGGGCTCTTTCTTCCAAGTTAGTCAGAAAGAGAGGCATCCACACATACACACTTGGTCAGGGATCCAGGAGCCAAATTTTGTACCACATTGATTTCCAAAACACAAAACTAGACATAACCTAAGGTTTAACTTCCAGTTTTGTAACACTACATATTAATTTGGGGGTATAAACAATCTGATGGGTGACTTGAAGTGCAAAGCAATCATAAGAACCCTAAAATGAAAGATCTTTTTCCCTGTGTCTTCCAAGAGCACAAGCCTTTGTGCCTCCTATTTATGTCTTACTTCCTCTCCCATAAAGAGCATACAAACGGGTCCCATTGCTGAAACTAGCAAGTTATAAAAACAGAGAAACAAAGAAGTCACATACTTTTTTGACATCTGCTATCCTTTCTTTCTTAGAGGCCGGCTTCTCTTTGGCTTCAGGAAGTGTCTGTTGGGATTTGGAACCCGTTGATCCACTTTCAGATTCAGACTGACTTTCGGAGGTCTCTGAGCTACTGTTGGATTCGCTCCCATGGTCGCTGCCTTGCTCAGTGTCAGACTGGCTTGCTGAATCGGACTCTTCAGATGCTGAGTGGCTATGGGGAAAGAAGCATATTTCTTGTGATCAATGCACCTGTACTTTTTGCTCATTAAATATCCAGCCACTTGTGGTCTTCCAGGTCATTATTCAACTCTGTTGCCAAATTAGTGAAGGTTTATGGGAACTGTAGTCAACATATAGAGGAAGACATGGCCCACAGCTGATTCCACTCCCTATAGGAGAAAAAACATGTCAAATCTTGGGCCTTTGTTCCTTCAAGAACACCCCCAAGAACATGCACATCATGCTTTAGTCTTTTTTACAAGATCTCATTCAGAAAAGTTAACAGGCCCCCCAACGGAGCCACAGGAGGCAAAGGTCAGGCCAAGAACTACTAGCTAGAGACTCCTAGCTCCAATTTAGGGGGGAACAGCACTGAATCAGCTACAGGTTTTGATCCAAACTTTACATGAAGTGTCCGAGGTGCCAAACCCGATCCCCAAACCAGGTTCAGAACCCTGAAAACTTACTTTAAAATTCAGACTGAAACCTGAGATGATTTGGCTGCCCTGAAGAAACTGGACCCAACCGACTACACCTGCTGCCACGCCTGTGTTAGCATAGTTAAAAGCCAAGGGTTTGGACTAGCAAAGGTATTTATCTTCAGGAACACTGAGCGTAGTCAGGATAGACAGCCCCTCAGTAGAGGCAGGTCTACACTTAAGGGCACTGTGATGAAGCCTGACAGGACTGCCTGAGGTTGCCAGCCTGAACTGAGCTCAGACAGGGTGCAGCCCTTGGACACAACGGCTGGGGTTGCACCACCACCTGACTACTGAGTCCTGCTGGTCCCCAGAGAGCCGCCAATCGAGGGCCAGTGCCCTGGACCCCTAAGCTCCTGGTCTGAAAGTTACAAGAGGGTTAAGCCCAGGCACCCCCAGGGCTGGCAGCTTCAAGAAGTTACTTATCCGGCCCTGCTGCTAATCATTCACGATCCTTTTTTTATTTTCGGATGTGGCCGAGCAAGCCCTTCGATGGGTGAGCAGAAGACAGCTGTGTGTGGGACTGACCTCCTTCCCTAACCCCTGCCATCATGCTCTCCCGCCACCCACTTGGCTTTCATGTGCTCTGGCCACCCACACAAGGCCTGCATCAATTCCAACACAACCCTAGTCAACAGCAGCTGCACCCCCTGGACCCAGGAATGACATGCATGTCCAAAATGGCTGCCTCTTGATGAACAGGCTCCAACAGATAGATAGATAGATAGATAGACAGACAGACAGACAGACTGACTGACTGACTGACTGACTGACTGCCTGACTGACTGACTGACTGCCTGACTGACTGACTGACTGCCTGACTGACTGACTGACTGCCTGACTGACTGACTGACTGCCTGACTGACTGACTGACTGCCTGACTGACTGACTGACTGGACTGACTGACTGACTGACTCCTTCTATAACACCCATTTGGCAGCCAAGGCCACTCTGGGCGGTTTATAAGAAATAAAAACAGAGTAACAAAATAGCAAATAGTGACATTATTACATAGGGGTGGAAATCAAAAATCATAAAGTGAAGTAATAAAATTATAATACAATAAATACAATTAAAAGCCTAGAAGAAAATAAAAACATGGAGCATGGCAGTATGATAGAAGCAATATTAATGTTGTTCTTGTTATTATTCTTGACATTGTTGTTAATAAAGTTCCCATTTCTACCACTTTTGTGACTATTGTTTTATAAAAACTCAGAATCTCTCACTTATTATAAATTAATCAAGTAAAATATCAGAGGTAAAGACACTGAACAGATACTTTTTTACTTCCGTCAAAAGATATAAGGTTAAATGCAAACACAGTTGTCAGAAACAGCCACTTTGGTCTGTTTTACCTTGTCTAACAAAAACAAAAACAAAAACAAGGTGTCTGAGGAGGGTGGACTGGAAGTTTTGAAAGTTCAAATTGTAACAAATCTATCTAATGTGCCACACACTTTTGTTTGTATTTTGCTTTCCGTGACAGGGTTTTGAGCCAAATGTTCCCAAAATCTGAGAATGTAAAAGACAGAATGCATCAAAACATAGTATATGCTTTAGAACCCCCTTGCGTTGTGAAATCTTTAAAAAGAAGTGAAGAAAATGAAGAAAACTAAAATGTATTTCCTCATGAAGCTGGCAGGGGGCAGCAGGGAAATGGCTGGAGAAAGCAAGAGCTGTGAGGCATGTGGTCAGCAGCCATTTTGGGAGCCTTCTGCCGTCTCCTTTCCACCATTTCGTGCATTTTCCCTGCTCTCCTCTTCCCAAGCAGATGCCTTGGGATCGTTAAAAACAAAATTAAATACAAGAGACTTTGGATGCACTTCAAGACAGTCTGCAAACAGGTCCATGGAACAGTACAGTAATATTAAAAGGAGAGGAATTCAATGAAATTGGTCACCTCTTTTTCCCCCCACATCTCTCCCAGAAAAACTGGGATGAAGAGAGACCACCGAATACAACACAATAAAGGTTTCCCGTCTCATAGATGAAGCCAACATTATCTACTGCTGAGTCTGGAGTGGAATCCAGCCTTGAAACAAGGGATGTGTGTCTGTTCCCCAACCCAGCTTGTATTGAAATAAAAGTACCCATAACGGCCCCCCAATCAGCCTTGTGGGTCCTTCTGGTGACATTTTGGCACAACATTTTGTCCAGGCCTGTAAGATTATCTGCAGATTTCTGGTTCTCTGGAAAGAAGCTCATTCTCATGAATGGGGAGACACAGATGGCATGGGGACAAACTAAATTGTATAGGCGTGATGGAAGGACTTTCTTTGATCACGGCATTTTCCTCAGTTTTTCCCTTCTCCATTTTTAATCATGGTGTATGAATGACAGGTTTAAAACGGGGTACTACTCTGCTCTGTCATTCCCTCCAGAAAATAAGACCTAACCTGAAAATAAGCCCTAGTAGGATTTTTCAGGATGCTTTTAATATAAGCCCTACCCCAAAAATAAGCCCCAGTTAAGTGAAACCCCGTTCTCCATCCTTGTGCAGCAACCAGAAGATGACAGGACTGTATTTGAATACATGTAGATTGTTGTACTTGAAAAAAATAAAACATTCCCGGAAAATAAGCCCTAATGCATTTTTGGAGCAAAAAATAATAGACGACCCTGTCTTATTTTCGGGGAAACACGGTATATATATGAAATTTTGGTCAATGCTTCAGACATCCAAGCAGGTATAGCTTACAAACATTCAATAATAATAAATTTGTACTTAAGATGACAGGACTATTCTTTCTTTTTTGCTGCAAAATAAAATAGCAACCCGAACACAATCTATTGTAATATTTGTTGTCTTTCCTCAAACAGGATGTGTGCGTGTGTGCACGCATGGACACACACAATATCTGTCTATCTGTCGGTCGTTGTCCTTAACCACCATAGCCAGGGATTTTAGGAATTGTAGTCAAATAAAAACAACACCCTTAGGACAAGCAATGCATGTCCAGGTACATCGAGAGAAAAGTTCTGGTTTCAGACATGAAATGCCTCCCTCTGTAACCATTCTGACACCTACAGACTTAAATATACTATACACATGTCCTAAAATATCAAAACTAAGTGAGCTTTTCCAGTCCTGCAGGTCTCTTATTCAGGCTGGACATTGCAGTGATGGGAAGAATAGGGTTCGTCTTCAATCTCCCTTTTCTGTTTGACTACTGTATAGAAAACAGTCATCAGGAAGGAGATCTACCATCAGCCAAAGTGTGCATCTTAGACAAGACTCAACTCGTCTGTCCTAACCATTAGGGAATACTCTTACTTTGGCTCCAACTGACTGTTCTTTGTTTGTTTTGCTTGGTGTGTTACTGTCAATGAAGGTTAATCTCAAGATTTTCTCATACTGTGATCCCCACATTTCTGGATGCTTCTATTCTCAGCCACGCACGAGCAATATGCTTCAATAGAAGTCAGTGCAGGATACAGTGAGTGACTGGTAGTCCTTCATCTATAAAACGGAGAAAGAAAACTGACACCTCAAATTCATTCTACAATTTTGCAGCTTCCATCTTAGGATTCTGCTTTAACGACAGACCATGAAACATTTGGTAAAGCTGTTACCCATTTCTTCCTTGACCCCAAGTTCTGTAACGCCCAGTGTGAAGATTCACAAACGTGAACCAGCTCTTTAAGGATGCAGAAATACTAGCCTCGCAAACATAAACCACCCACCCGTAACTTCACCCTGTGTACAAGGACTTCACAGCCTAGCAGGATTCAAAGGCTCACACGTTTTTATTATTTCAATGATCTAATAAAGGGTTTACAGTGTGATTTTAAATTAAGAATTGAATTATTACTTTTGTTTACATTTACTCCACACTACATACTACAAATATGTTTTGCACTTACAATGGCTGAACTTCTGTCGCTCAGTTCTGCAAGTGCAATGAAGATGTCATTAGAGGCCATTCGCCACTGATTATATTAAGACAGGCCTTCCCAGATCACATAACAACTTGATACAACAGTGCCTTTAATAACTCAACATCTAACCTAACACCATGATTTTCACTTTATTTTAATTTATTATGTTCTCCAGTGTCTTTTTATTGCAATTTGTTTTGTACTTTTTAATTTTATGGATGTTGCCAAGCTCCCTGTCATTATGTTATTGTTGTTGTTTAGTGTTGTAAACCGCCCCAAATGGCCTTGGCTGCCAGATGGGCGGTATAAAAATTAAATAAATAATAAAAACATACAAGGGCAAACAGCAGCTGATTAAAGGCAATTTCAGGGTGCACACAACTCATACAAAATGCACTGAAATCACCTGCACCCAAAATCCTGAGAGGAAGCTTTTAATCCTGAGCAAATTGTTGCTGATGATGATGTCAACCCCTCACTGTGCAACAGGATTTCAGCTACAAGGGATAAATGAAACAGAACTCTTGTGAATGTATAAATAACACCAGGAAAAGTGGGCTTTTAGTATCTATCACGGCATTACCCAAGTGTGTTGCTGGAGTGATTGATAGAACATGAAATAAAAACATTG